TTATACACTAATGTATTGTATATAGAATTAAGTTTTAGTGCGTCATTTTTATTTTATTTATGACCAAATTGTTCGATCGTGTACGTGTGATGTATCGCCGCGTCGTGGGTTGCGCAGTACTATATAATGGAAGTGACGAAGGAACGTACGCCGCTACACTGCCGTCGAGCGCCCTGCCGCTCAACAGACGCCTTTCCAAATGTAATCGTAACCTTAGTTATTGTAAGTACTACTTTGGACAAGTTTAAGCTTTTATGTCAGTCAAATACATGAGACAACTATTATAAAGGAATTAGGAACAACTAAGATATGTATACTGCTTATTAATTCTAAACTAAATGACGTGGGGTGCTGCGTTCACTGAATTTAAGTGTTTAGGTAGTTAAAGTACCTACATGTTCTAATTAAAATATATTTTGTATATTCCATTCGTTTTATTTTTGTGAATTGCAACTGCTGAACTAAGTATTTGCCGATTGTATACAATGTGGTAAACAAGTTGTATAGGAATGGTTACGTCATAACGCCTTAATGGTCTGTGATCTACGTGTATGAACTTGGATGTTTGCTTAGTTAGTAAATGAGCTTCGTTCTGAACAGTTGTACTTTGTTAAGGCGTTGTCCACTGTCTAACTACACGCACAAACGAACGCCTCAGTGACGCACCACGGAGCTACCGATTGCTACATAACAGCTGCAGGGGTCAATGTATTTAGAAGTAGTCGCCACACTCTGTGGCCACTCCAAGTAAAACATTTCTCAAATGTTAGAGCGGCCATTCAGTTTGCCGAGAACTGTATTTGTAGGGAACAGACCAAAGACAGGTGTTGGGATCTCATTAAACAGTGAGCGCGGAGCGTTTTCTATAACACCGCTCTCACTTAAATTTATTTGTAGCTGGCAATTCTAATCCGTGCTGCGTCAGTGTTGCCCTATATGTTCCTGTTTAATTTCACTTCGTATCAATAAGCAGCTACCCGCAGTGTCATTTCTAGATATCATAGTGTCTAAAGCTGATGTATATTATAAAATCGTAATACATAATTTTGAAAAAAATATCGAATGTTGTTTTATTGTTCATTTTAACCGAGCCGCCTTTAATGTAAAGTTTTGTGTAAAGTTGTGTGGAGATAATGGCCAACCTTATTATTTACCCACCAGCTACATATAGAGGTATGAAACACGATTCCGGTTTCAGCATTTGTTTGGAATCGAACTCGCTACAAGATGTGTCGCAGACAAAAAATATATTAGTTATACATATACGCCTATTCCTCATACAAAATTTAATCGGAGATACAACAAACTATAAAGTATAACAACAACAGAGTCGACAGTTGATAGCATAATAAATAAAACACGTCTTTAATAATCAGGGAACAAACTGTATATAGCGTGCGTTCGTGCAGCGGAATGTTGTCGAATTTAAAGATTTTAATTATGCAGATATTTAGTGTATGACGTCTTATAATTGTGTATGGTAAAAAAAAATTTGTGCACGCAACCATTGTGGAGAAATTCACCAAAAACTGATTCCGCTGGGCGAACGTTGTCCTGGCGGAACTTTTTTTAATCCATAGACTTTAGAAGAAAAGAGATGTATCCAAAAATTAGTGTGTATTTGTGTGTAATTGTGTATGTATGAATAAAACTAGTGCATGCATAAACTTCGGAGAAATTCAAGTTTCCGCTACGCGAACGTTTGGCCATTAGCTAGTTTTCATATAAAGCGCTTACATAGAGAGCTGTAGATTTTTACATACGTTGTTTTGAATTTGTGTATATTTGTTTAAAAAACAGATTTAGAAAAAATCGTAGGGTTTAAAAGATAAAAATATAAACGTAAAATACGCTTATTAGGTCTTAGTTCTTAAAGTATGCACTTTAGGGTCTAGATTTTCACGTTTATACAAACCTTGTAAGTGTCTGCAACATGTTGCCAAGTATCAATGATGTTCCGTTAGTAATTAAATAGTTATAGGACAAATTTACCATGAATAGATCACTGTTTACAAAGCAGTCAAATATCACGACTTTCTAAATGAATTGCATGGTAAAATGTATGCCAATAATTAGTGTATTCATTCAACGATTCACATGCAAAATTTCATGTCATTAAATTCAGTAATTACAGAAAAACAATTATAATACTGACGAAGCATCGAAAACCTACATAACCCGACCAAGATCGGATGGCTACAAAAAAGCGGCCGTGCCATATATCTAAGAAACGTTCTTAACTTTCCAATATAGCATTTATTAATATGGTACAGTATCGTACACAAGCGTTAGGAAAAAGTAAAACACAGTATCGTACACACGCTCGTGCATGCCTCTATTGGTTAAATAGTGTAATAAAAAATATTGGTTAAATAGTGTAATAAGCTACAATATGATAAATATTTACCTAAACAGTAGTACATAAGTACTTACATGTGGTAAATATTTAATTTCCCTAAGGGGTCTATAGTTAGAATCCTGATCCGTGAAATCTTCAATAGAAATTAGCTGTATGAATTTTATTTGTCTTAAATATAATTAGATTATATCTCAAGTCTCAAGCGCATACTTAAATAAAGTACCTACGTAAATAGTACCTACTTTCTGTCATAGTCAAATACATTTAAAAAAGTAGGTGTCCAAAAATAAATGACCTATAAATTATTTCGAAACAACAAGTGTGTTATCACCTGTACCAATTCAATACCGGTATTATACTGTAAATTTTGGGATGTTACCTAAATATATTGCACAGCCGCTTTTTTGTAGCCATCCGAACTTGGTCGGGTTATGTAGGTTTTCGATGCTTCGTCAGTATTATAATTGTTTGTCTTTAATTACTGAATTTAATGACATGAAATTTTGCATGTGAATAGTTGAATGAATACACTAATTATTGGCATACATTTTACCATGAAATTATTTAGAAAGTCGTGATATTTGACTGCTTTGTAAACAGTGATCTATTCATGGTAAATTTGTCCTATAACTATTTAATTACTAACGGAACATCATTGATACTTGGCAACATGTTGCAGACACTTACAAGGTTTGTATAAACGTGAAAATCTAGACCCTAAAGTGCATACTTTAAGAACTAAGACCTAATAAGCGTATTTTACGTTTATATTTTTATCTTTTAAACCCTACGATTTTTTCTAAATCTGTTTTTTAAACAAATATACACAAATTTAAAACAACGTATGTAAAAATCTACAGCTCTCTATGTAAGCGCTTTATATGAAAACTAGCTAATGGCCAAACGTTCGCGTAGCGGAAACTTGAATTTCTCCGAAGTTTATGCATGCACTAGTTTTATTCATACATACACAATTACACACAAATACACACTAATTTTTGGATACATCTCTTTTCTTCTAAAGTCTATGGATTAAAAAAAGTTCCGCCAGGACAACGTTCGCCCAGCGGAATCAGTTTTTGGTGAATTTCTCCACAATGGTTGCGTGCACAAATTTTTTTTTACCATACACAATTTTAAGACGTCGTACACTAAATATCTGCATAATTAAAATCTTTAAATTCGACAACATTCCGCTGCACGAACGCACGCCTGTATATAAGCCGACAGGAAATTTACGTAGTTAATTTTGTATTATTTATATACATTACATTCTGATATTTATCCTTCCTGTTGCTAGTAGCCTACTTGGCTAACGTAGTTAGGGAGCTGCCAAGCATTTAAGTTTATGATTTTCCTGCACGTATTGAAAGCCATTAAAAGGATCAATACGACTTAATTTCATAATAGGTATTGAATTTTATTCTGTTCGTGTCTGCCCTTTTTTGTCAGGGGAAATGTCATCTAATGACTTTTCCCGCCCAGGGTAAGGCAAGAGAGAGTGTTAAACTCTTACTGAGTAAAAACCCTTTAACGTTCCTTCTCCTGCTCTGGGTCGAGGTCCCTGCTCTGGGCCGAGGTCATACATAAAAGAAGAAATATTCTTAATGATTTTTTCACAGCATGACGTTCATTAGATCACTCATTATTTTCATCATCATCAGCCTATAAGTGCTCACTGCTGAGCAAATGCCTCTTCTCATACGGAGAAGGTTAGAGAATTAATCATATAATAAGAAATCAATATAGTAAGAAATTGTAAGTCCAGGTTTCCTCACGATGTTTACCTTCACCGTAAGTCAGTGGTGTCTAAATAATAATAGAAAGTACATATAACTCGGAAAAAGTCACATTGGTACTTGCCAGGTTGGAACCCACACCCTCATGCAAGAGAAGTGGGCTCCTTAACCTCCGGGCCATCACGACCGAACTTTCGATACAGAATACTCAATATTAACACTCAATACATAAAAAATGCCAAACATTTACTGATTTTAACCATTACAGCTCGTTGATATAGTAAATACACCTAACATCTTAGAATAATTACATCTAGCACGATAGCTCTCTCAAAAACGGTCCGTCATAAAAAGGATAAAACTAAAACCCAACTACGACACAAAACGACGTTGAAAAAGTATAAAACAAGATTTTCAGAATACTGAAAGGCGAACTCACAGGTCAAAGTGCTACGGTAAAGGAGGTAAAGTTACTAAAAACTGGGAGATTTAAAAAAAAAACTCCAAAGTTTCTATTGTGTGTTTTGGAGCACGAGCATTTTTTTTTATTTCTCTAAATAAATATAAGTGTCGCACTATCCTCACATAATTGAATCAACTATTTATATATTGTATAAGGAATCTGTGTGTGAAACTGATTTAAAAGAGTAACCATGGAGTTTCTTGCTCGTTCTTCACCATCGGAATCTACACTTTGAAAAGAGCAAATAGCTTCAGTATAAAGACTGACCGACAGACTGACACTATTCAATATTTTGTTTGACGTTCAAAAGTGCCTGTACGTGGCGGTGAACAAAACATATCATTCAGAATATTAAATTCAACTATATCCGGATATTTAAATTTACTAAAATAAACAACAAATCAATAGGCAAGTACAAATAAAACGCGAAATACACATCAATAATCAACATTTATTTATTTTTTATCAATATTTTATTCTAGTAGGTTTAAAGAAAAGTACGACTTATGGGTAGGTATAATAAATATTAGCTAGTATAAAAACATTTAAATAATTTTCTTCATTTTCTTACAAAATTACAGAATTATAAGAATTACACTTGGACGCAGCCCAATAAAGGATTTAATATAGATAAAGACATACAAAAATTTTATGTTACAAAACCGTATATATGCTTATACGTCATGGACACAAATCTATAAGTGAGTGTACATTATATATTAAAATATGTTGTAAATTGTGACCAAAATATGTACTAGAGTAGGTATGAGAATTCTTAGGCCTCATTTTCTCGGAAGTCGTTCTTTTATCATACATTGCAGCAGTAGACCACGTCATTGACCGCGCAACACACATGTCATAGAACATAACGAGCAATGTACGACGAACGTAAATGTGGTTTTAAAGAAACGATCCCATTGTTAAATGTACTTTCATTTTGCTAATTCAAAAGAATTCCATACCTAAAGATACTCCTAAAAATACGTTTGAATTAAGTAATTATCACTGGATTCATTAAAAACTAACCTAGCACCAACTAAGTAATTGCTTCGGCTTGAATGAGGTGAATCTGTATCGAAATAATTTATCTATAAGTACTTTTTACTATTATTAACATAAATACGAGTACCTACCTATGTATTTTTTTTTAATATTTTTTAATCACAATCACAAACACGACATTTATAATTTGAAATGCAGTTAAGAGTAAATACATGTTTAAGGAGACGAGTCAAGACAGTTTCGAATTACGGTTAGCCACTAGAAGAAAGTAGATTAATCTCTGTGACTGACAAGACTTAAGTCGCCATTGGCGCCAATTTCAGGAATTGTCCAAAAACCAAATGAACATCTAATAGAGTTATGGCGGTATGGCGACTGTCTGGCCGAAAACCAACCATGAAGTTACTTTATTGGAATATTAAGTAGTAAAAACGATTGTTTACGAGTAATAAATACCTTTTTTGAAATGTTAAAAACGACAGTTTTAGATGTTCTATGCATTTGGTAGAAGATTGAAAGTTCTGTCATATTTTTTTATCGGCAGGTTACTTTTCAACTCGTACCTAAATTTAATACTTTTATTAAAATATCAATAACAATATTGATCGATTAGTTCACGTACTTAATAACACTAGATACATAAGTGAAAATATAGATTTTCACATTAGGTTTTTATAGATAGTAGAAATCATTAACATTACAGAGCCAGTACATTATTTTGCGTCATCCTTTATCGATAAAATAAATTTCGTTTACCGAATAGTAAATGCAAATATTTTCCTATCACACATCCTAGTAGAGGCTACTGGTTCAATTGGTTTAAAAGTTGATTTTGGCCTGAAGTTCTGCCATGACTGTGGCTGACTGGAACACTTGCTCTCTTTCCAAGTCTGTGAGGGGTTGGCGGACGACATCGTGGACACCATTGCGGCCAATCACACACGGCAGCGAAAGGAATACGTCATCTGTGATACCGTGCTCGCCCTGGGAAAAAGAACAACAGTTATTCTTTGTAAAATTACGTACGGATGCCAAGAAAATATCAAGCTTTTACATATTTCCAACTTTATTGCAATGGAATAAGATTGAACAGATGGAATGGAATTGAGTTAACAATTTCGTTTTATTTCGCGTGCTGAGAGCTCACAACGGATTTACTGTACTTTATTCAGCTTCTGTATACAACTAGTTACATTCTGCAATGTGACTTGTTGGTAGAAACAGCAAAAGATATTACAATATTAACAAAATAAGGACAACACTATAATTTTAGAGGCGACTTTTTTGTTTGTTCTTCTCCATTCGAATCTACACTGACAGACTATTATTTTATTTTATCATTTCAAAAGTAGGTAAATACCTATTTAGGGTTTAGTTGTAATAATTCACAGAACAGATTTTCTATTCCGTGGAATAAATGATTTTGAGTTTGACTTGGATTTGATAGAACGACTCAGCGATAGGTATCACCAGAAAAATTAAAACAAATTGAGTATTAAAGTTTTAACAGCATTAGGCAAGTTGCCAATAAACGTGACGTTTAAAATATTGTTGTGTCGAAATAACAAATTACACTCTTTGATATCTGTATCTGAAGTAATATGAGGTCATTCTCAAATATTCGGAAACTCATTTATTCTTTGAAATCTTAATTTAACTCGGAAAATAAACTTTATTTTTAAATGTTTAATTAGAGCCAAGTTATATTTGCGTCCAGGTAAGTTCGATGACCGCAAGAGTGTGTATGTATAAATTTGTTGAATATCAATTATTATTGCAGATACCGACTATAGTTTTTTAATAAAGTCTCTACCAATATATGTATATATTTTATTTTAAATAACAAAAATCAGCAGCAGGGGAATCGGGTACCTAGTTTTTGGAAACTTGAAAAGTTGGGGATTGCAGGCGAGAATTTTTCCTTCCCTAACCTGACCCAAACGGCGAAACATAACGCGAGTGGTTTTCAATGAGGTCTTTCAATCAGTCTTTTAGAGCTGGTCCATTCGTGCCGAAGCATAACTCTCACACGTGAAAAAGTTTTGCTGAGGAAGTAGACAAGTAGTTCACAATATTACCTGGACACAAGTAGTAACAGCATGCACAGTGGCTGCGTTGGTGAGGATGGCTTTCACCAGCTGAGTGAGGGACAGTCCGATGGCCCAGGACGTGTAGCCCTTCAGCTTAATGACTTCGTAAGCACTCTGAACCACTTGGACGTGTGTCTCCTTCCAGTTCTCTGAGTCAGAGTCCAGGCCAATGTTCTTGTTCAGGTCCCTGAGACGCACGCCTGCGATGTTCACGCTTGACCATACCGGTACTGTGGAAACAATGTTATTTAAATACAACAAGAAATAATGGCTCAAATTACAATTGATATTTTGCCAATAGCAGAATAGCCCGTTGTTAGAGATAGTTCTTGTGAAGATATCATATTGTTACACATTTTATTTTATTAATTGCACCTGCTTCGAAGAGATTAGGGTGGAACGTTAAGTAAGATAAGGTCATCAAGTACTCACCGCTGCTATCACCGTGCTCCCCAATAACGTACGCGTGGCAGGATGTAGGTGAAATGTTCAGTTTCTGCGACAGCAGGTAGCGGAACCTGGCAGAGTCGAGGTTTGTTCCCGACCCGATGACACGGTGCTTGGGCAGGCCACTGATCTTCCATGACACGTACGTCAGGACATCTACTGGGTTACTAGCGATCAGGAGGATCGTGTTTGGACTGTATTTCAATAACTGTGGAAGAAAAACAGTGATTGTTAACAAAAATAGATAGATATATCCACTTTAGAGCGACCTACGACGCCAGACATTCATGGGGTTAACTAAATCCATATTTATTGCTCGAAGTCCTACTTGTGAAGGCGTATGCTGACCTGCTGCATCATCGTAACACTTGTACGGTGCATTGGCGTTTCGTGCTGTTACGGCTCGTATACCTAACGTTTTGTTGTGAACCCTGTGTACATTAGATAGCGATCGCTAATGGATAATAAAAACGTGTACCTGTGTACCTTCGCTAATTGTACCGAGGCGCACGAAACTAATAGGTAACTATCCCCATTTTAATGATATTTCCAACGTTAAATCTGTAGTCTAACTTTGGTATGTAAATAGTGTTGTCATTTGCAAAAATTTTACTTACTTCGGGTATGATGCCTTTGAGTACTTCGACGTTCCTCTGCACCAGGCTGCGTCTGTCCTCTCCCTCTTTCTGCCTCACACCCGCAGTTATTACACAGATTTGCGAGCCCGCCGTGATCGAGTAATCTGTATAAACGAAACAAATTCGCAAATAAGTAAGTTTTCCTATTTCTGCTTTTTGCAAATCGAACCGTCAATGTGAAGTCTCTATCCAGACTTATACTTTACTCTCTCTATTACTTTAATTGAACAAGAAATATTTGCCAGCCCTTATATCTAAAAGCATGTTAATAAGACATGGTTTAAAACTACAATTGCTGTAAACATTTAAGTGATATATGTCGATTTTTTTATTAATAACGGACTGTAAACGAATTTATGTTCAATGTCTTGACAATCCCCCAGTATGTGTCGACTTCGGGAGAGTCAAGCTTCGGCAAGAATGGGTCGGCCGGAGTGATAAATACCACGGCCTCACAGGAAATCTGCGTGAAACAACCACAGTATTGTGTTTCGCAGTGTCAGTGAAATTACCGGAGGCCCAATCCCTCCCTCTCCCCGCGTCTCTTCCCAATCCTTATATCCCAAACCCTTATCCCCAAAATGCCGACAACGCACTCATTACTTCTTTGGTGTTGCGGGTGTACATGGACGAGGACCTGATTGCATACCATCAGGTAATCCGCCTGATCATTTACAGATTAAACGCATAAAAGATTGTTGAATGAAGACATGACAGACGGACTTGACTACTAATGTTATAACAAAATTGCGTTGCCACATAACAATGACAGCGGTTGGCCCACTCACTGGTGCAATTGGCTGACCGCTTCGCGTCACTGCACATCAATTCCTGCACGTAAACTGCAACTGTCCACGCATAACGCTGCAGGGTTTTGTTTGTGCACTTTATTTATGAATTAACGTGCGATTTGTACCAAGATGCATGTCAATAAGGCACAATTTGGCGTTTCTTTTTTATTTTTTACGGACGGAGACACTTGTAAGATTGAATATGAGATAATATGAGATGACGCAATCTAGGACGCAACTTAAATGTAAGATAAAAGGGTGCCAAGGCAATCAGAAGCAAATTTTTATGGATACGATAGCCAGTCTCTATAATAATCATGATTTTAAGGCTACTTATTAGCCTAAGTCTTTGTTTTAATTTTGACGGTTGGACTAATAAGTCGGATAGATGTGACACGTTACTACAAATACTAGTTAAGTGTGCATTTATCACTTTTTTGTGAGGGGAAAATCATTAAATGACTTCTTTCTCCCAGGGCCGGGAGGGAGGGAGTGTCAGACTCTTACTGACTAAAAACCCCCCTGTTCCTTCTCCTGCTCTGGGCCCAGGTCGCGGTGCCTCATTGCGCTCTACCCGCAACCCCGGCTGAACATCAGCTTTATGGGGCACCGTCTGTGGTGGTCTATTGACTCTTTAAAGCGCGGGCGGAACGCCGCGCTTTTAAGGATTTAGCGCAGTTCTGGTTCTGGTCGGGCGGCGAGCTACACTTACTTGCATGCCCGCGCTAATGGTGGCCAGAAATCGTCTCCCGCTGCATCACTCGGTCCATCGTTCATGAGCAATCCTTCTATTCCACCCAAATCAAATTTTAAGTCTTTATACTCCACCCTATAAGACACCTAATCTTTAAAAAAAATACGAAAATATCTGGAATTTTTTTAGATCTTCATATGATTCGCGATAAACTAATGTGAGTGATAGTTCAAACAAATTACGTTCCATACTCAGAATACAGAACAAACCAGAAGCCGTCAACGCGCTTCAAACTAAAGCAACTAAAACCATTCTCAACTAGAATAGTATGAAATTTCTACGATCAGTCAATTTTGGCACGTGGCATGTTGTGACGTATTTACGAGTATCAATTTTAATTTTATTTCGCCGTCTTGTGTTATTCCTACGAGTAAAAATGCGACTGGAATTACGAAAAAAGTGGATAAGATTACATTTCATCTGCAAGCATCGACTGCAATAGTATATTTAATTAATTATTGAATTCTTTTATCGATTTATTTTTCTATGAAAATGATGCGGCCATTTTGTGAGTGTTGCCATTTTTGGTGAAAATTTTACCCACTTAGTTAGGTGTTGTGAGTTATATTTTTGCCCATTATGGAACCTTTGTCGTATTAGATTCCCTGTCGACAAACAAAGAAAATGAAAATGAATAAAAATCATACAAAGAGCACGGTTAGATGAATTTGGAAATCATCTAGCCGGAGCATAGTTTTGCTCAATTCACTTTGAACAGCAATATATTTATGACAAAGGTGGTTTAAAAAGACTGAAAAAAAAAACAGAAACTCCTGCTAACTATACTAATTATAATGCTGAAGAGTTTGTTTGTTGGTTTGCTTGAACGCGCTAATCTGAGGAACTAAGAAAAGTAGGTAAACTTCTAATCAGTTCAGAGTCTAGAAGACAATACATGTTATAAAAAAGATAAAACAGCAAAAGAGAACACAACTAAACCTTTGTACTTATTGAAATTTTGTTTTATTTGTTGTGAATAGTAAGTGTAACTAAAATTAACACAGCTAGAAATCGTCAACTTTTATGAATGATACCTGCACGAAATGTGTAAACCACTAGTCTGTTAAATTTATCGTCAGATTACCAATTTTTTACCAATAAAATATAATTTGCCCTCCTTTTGTAAAATTACCCCAAACCAAGGGAATTCTTCCACTATCGGCAACACTACGCGGGTGTGAAGTGCGGCTGGCGGGGGGACTGACGTATTGTTTTTGGACACATTAGACGACATGCAATTGTAAATGAACGCGGCTTCTGGTTTGTTCTGTTTTCTGAGGTTCCATATTCAAATTTGTCTGATACATAAGTATGCGTCGTGAAACACGCCCTTATCCTCACATGAACCTGTTACACCAAATAAATATCAAGGGGTAATTGTAACATTATCTGGAAAATCTATACAACTAGTTATCTTACCTGTGCCAGCCTTTATGTTGGCGTTGAACAAGAAGGCGGAACCATGTTGCAAGTCCATCATCTCCCCTTTCAACTTGTTCTCATTCACGTCCACCATGACGACATTGTTTGTCACACCCTGTGAACAACAATTAAGTAATAAGATACAACGTTAAGTATGTATGTACCTATGTAATGTAGGAAGATCTTTATTGTATATGGTTTATAGTTTACAATCGCTTGAAGACTTTTACGTGCTTGCTATGTTTAAGTCCCTATATAACAAAAACTACAAATTATCTACAGCCTCAGGATTTTTTATTGAGAATATTTGTTAAATGGTTTCTCCCGCCCTAGGAGTATCAGACAAGGACCGGAAAACGTAGTGAGGGCAGGCCTTCCGCTAGATGGACCGACGACATCGTCAGAGTTGCGGGGAGCCAATGCATGGAGGTGGCAACTTGTCGTTCGACGTGGAGAGCTAAGGGGGAGGCCTTTGTCCAGCAGTGGACGTTTTCCGGCTGATGATGATGAGGAGTATCAGTCACTTACTAAATAAAAACTATGTCATTCCTTCTACTTTGGGCTGTGGTCGCTGTACATTATTTATTGCGCTTGCAACCCCAACCCCGGCTGAGCGTATGGTTGAAATTCGCGCTCGAAACTTATGAAACTTGCATTAAAGTGAATTCTATTTGAGTAGGCATTCGCTTCGGGAGTACAAGGTGGTCCATACGCTAATGTTGTTTGTGATGCATATTTCATACCCATGATCAGTTGAAAACAATAAAAAATAATAAGTTTCTTTAAGTCGATATCAATGATTTTTATAATTTTGTAGCCCGAGCTCAACAATTTGGTTTGAGGTTTGTTTAATAAGCTTCCTTAAACTAACCCAATCCGTGAAATAATTGACGATATTAACGCCACTCTGTGATAACAATATTCATTACCTATTAAAAGTAACACAATCATGAAATATTCACATTTTTATGACGGATGACTGATGTTGAACAATTATATCGTGCCAGCGTAGCATAGCGTTGCAATTACATAAATAAATTTAACAAGGCCAACTATTGTTATAATAAACCTGCTTTTACTTGAAGATTCATCCATCGAGACAAAAATGTTCCCATATTATATGTATAAGTAGGTATTCTTATAATGTTTCCGAGATCCTGTGATTCACAGAAATCAAAAATCGGTTCGATTTCGAAATGACTCAAACAAATTCGATGAAATTTTATGTGTACCAACAGAGTTCTGGGTTCAAAATTATATCTCCATATCATAAACAACAACCACAGCATTGTGTTTCGCCGTGTGAGTGAGGTTACTAGAAAAACCCTTTCCCTTTCCCTATCCCTCTCCAATCGTAAATATCTAAAACCATTATCCACGTAATGCAAACAACGCATTCGATACTCTTTTAGTATTGCGGGTGTCCATGGACGGCGCGGATTGCTTACCATCAGGTAATCCGTCTAATCCTTTGCCAACCTATCTCATAATTTTATATACGAGTATTATTTGTACATACGCGTAGATTAGTCGCATGTTGTGTGAGTAATCGTTCGTTCTGAGTCGCCGTCATTTTTATAATCGGTTTCCGAGTAGGGTCTGATAAGATTAAAATGACAACGCAATCACGCTACACATGTATGGAATACAAATAGTATAATGCATAAGGTACTTAGTTATTTTAGAAGTGCATACATTTTCATTTATAAAAATGTTTTTTGATGGTGTTTAACGTCGACTGTTTTCTTACACTCTGGGGTCTGAGTGAGGAAATATGTAGTGCCAGACTCTTACTGACTTAACTCCTGCCAATAAAGTCAAAATGTCAAATCATTGAATGCGACTAAGAGTACCTACACATGATGGGTCTGACTTGGAACTTTTTTTATAGTATTTTTCGGAATCGGTCTAACAGTTCACGCATGATGACCAAAGGTTTTTGGGATCCACCCTAATACATATTGATATAAATACTAGCAGACCCAGCCACGCGTTGCTGTGGCTAAGGTTCTTGTCATATTACATAATTATGGACAAATAATTTGCAATAAAATAATATTGTGACTAAAAATGGAGATGAGATCTTTTAAGTTGGATCAAAATGCATACGAAATTTAAATCAAATTTAAAATCGGTTTAGTGGTTTAGGAGTCCATCACTGTCAAACACGTGACACGAAATTTTTATATCTATATAAAGATATGCAAGCAGACTATTTGCAGTTTAAAAATCTGTTACATAATGAATAATCCAATAATACTTATATTTTTATAAATAATTATACTTTCTGATAAGTAACGAGGTCCGATTAAACTCTCCAATCATTGATAACTTTATCATTTAGCAGCTGTCAGTGCCTAAAGCACTTTCGTTGTAAATCTACTGTTACCTACGGGGAGATATTACGCCTTCCGTCTGATGTTGATGATAGCTAGCGGGGCTTGGACCTCGTACCCAGGTTCATGTTCATCCGCCGTTTTAGTAGCTACAGTGCTGTGTAAGCACAAGCACTTAGTTCAATTTTATCAGAATTGTTATCTGTATTAGATATTAGCCTGTATTTATACATTGTTACATGAAATTTTATCAATAAACGTAGCGAAACAAAGTACAGTTAGAAAGGTATGTGGTATCTCTATCGATTAATCTGCATAGTATAAAACAAAGTCACTTTAATATACCTACACATATGCTTATGCTTAAAATTTTAAAACTAAGCAACGGATATTGATGCGACTTTTTAGTAGATCGAGTGATTGGAGTGGAAGATTTATATGTTGTATATCGATGCTTCCGGCAACAAATGTCGTAAACGCCATTTTGGCGAAAATGAGTTAAGAATGCAGCCCTACTTAATTTTTGGCGCTGCGTTGATCTAAAAATGCGAAAAAAATATTCGCCTAAAAAAACATACTTTTACACCCAAAATTTGTACTAGTATAATCAAGATTTTTTTGAAAAGAGGGTATGTATAACTCATATTCCTTAGAACCGAATAACCGTGCAGGTCGTATAACACAACGTACAAACAGCTGTCGGTCGTACAAATATGAATACACAATTAATTGTAATTACACCCCACAATCATTTTTAAAACGTAAGCTCTGCTGAGAAACAATTGTCGTAATGTCACATGGTCTTGGAGAATTTGTTTGAAAAATTAATTATGTAGGTCGTTTTTTTTATGTAATAGGTCGGCAAACGAGCAGACTGATTACCTGATGGTAAGCAATCAGCGCCGCCCATGGACACTCGCAACGGAGGAGTTACGAGTGCGTTGCCGACCTTTTAGGGATTAGGGATTTGGAAATTTAGGGATTGAGGAGGGATTGGGGAAGGGGAAGGATTGGGCCTCCGGTAACCTCACTCATACAGCGAAACACAACGCAGTGGTTATTTCACGCCGGTTTTCTGTGAGGCCGTGGTATCACTCCGGTCGAGCCGACCCATTCGTGCCGAAGCATGGCTCTCCCACACTTAATCGTACAGCGTACTCCTAATTTTTTTAATAGGGTCAGTCTCATATTGTCATTGATACTATTCCTGAGACTGACGAGGAAGATGAAGTTTCTGATTAATTATCTTCTATCCAATGACAGAAGATTATCAATCAGAAATTTGAAGACCTGATTTTCTATAACTCGTCGTCGTATTATGTTTTGCATCTACGTTTTTAATATCTTGTCGATAACACTTTTCCATTTTCACCAACGACACTAAAAGTTAGGTTAAGACCATAATACAGAAGCTTTCCGAACAAACAAGATCTAGAAAGATGAACTACCTAAATTTTTAAGGGCGTTGGTGAAAATGGACATTGTTTATTAAAATTATTAGAGCATTACTGTTCTAATCATTTTAATAGCTTGGTAGAATATTTACTTATATTTTTTTGTAATTCATTATCAATACGTTTTAAAAAAATGTCGTGATTATAAAATCTTCTTGAAATCCATGAAACATAATGATTACTTAACATTTTGAATTATGTCTGGCTGGTTAGGTACGTCGTAGGAGGTAGAACACTATAGGCATCTTGTAACAAACGCTTGATTAAATTATATACGGGAAGATGCCTATAATTTACTTACTTAAGTGTATTTTTATACCTTTAGGACCTGCCAGTCGAAAGGACTATAGACTTTTGCTTCAGATATTTCCATGTTTGTTACATACCATCGCATCAGATCGTGGTGTTTACACTCATTTTTATTTCAGTATATGGTTTTTAAAACCAAACCCAGAACTATTGTATTTAAAAACTGGTACATACTTCTAGCTTCCGTTAGACAAATCGTTCTCCATTGATTTGTTAGTGGTCGTAAACACCAACTTCTTGAATTTTCTGGGGTGTATGTCCAAGCTAACTTTTAAAATAAGGCTTTGACATAAATAGCAGTAATATATTATGAAACACCATCGTATTTTACGTATTTCTTGTATAGAACACAATTTTCCAACTTTTAAAGTTAAAAAGATATAAGCCAAAAACGAAATTATTTTTTGTTTTTCGTGGATTACCAAAAGTGCTATTTTGGTGTTTACGACCTTTGTTGTCGGAAGCATCGATATTAAAATTAATTAAATAGTGGTGAAATTTAATATGAGCATTGCACTCGTGCGAAGCCTGGACAAGTCGCTAGCATATTCTAAAGAAACTATTACTAATTCGAACAAAAATTATCAGGCAAATCGGTTCTTAAACCTCGGCGTAATCGGTATACATAAATAGAAAAAAAACCATATCACCCGAATTGAGAATCTCCTTTCTACGGTTTAAAACGTTCTGCATATCGAATTGACGTCAACGAATGTGTAGTAACTAGTTGCTATCTGTTTAAATCTAAAAATATAGCAAAACATCTGTCTAATGCGTTTATTTGCACGAAACAAGATGAATCATAGTCGACAGTAAATCTAAAGTTTTATTGAGACGATTATAAGGAGACTTGACGAATGTAGTTGCCGATAATCATTAGATTTAACTTGTTAGGACAAATGTTTAATAATGACAGGAAGTGTGGTAGAGCCCATGATTCCGCAGTATCAAACCAGATCCTGATACCACTGCCTCCCAAAAAAAAAGCGGTGTGAAACAACCACAATGTTGTTTTACTGTGTGAGTGAGGTTACCGGAGGCCCAATCCTTCCCTTCCCCCAATCTCTCCCTAATACTTCAATCGCACTCGTAACTCCTCTGGTTTTACCGGTGACCACGGGCGGCGTCGATTGCTTACCATCAGGTCATACGTATCCTCGTTTGAAGAGCTAACAGATAAAAAAAGAATATATAGGGCACTGTGTGGATACTTCTTTTAATTCTTCTACTTTTAATTCTTTCTTTTTTCTAATAATTCTCAAAGAGATTCGCGACAGAGTAAAATACATGTATGAGACCAATTCAGATTGAATCGTCAAACTACAAAATGGCAAGTAATAATACCTTTTTCCACACATATACAGTAGTATGTGTAAATATTGTTTGTTTAGCTATGTCGTACTCACGTCGAACAAATAGCACACAGGTAATGTACCGTTGTGATTAGCACACCGCAAATATTATACTCGAGTGGCAAACACTAGGGAACACTAAGTCGCCGCGGGAATTACATACTTCCAATTAAAATAATGACACACAATGTCTCTAAGTGCTCGTTAAGTAGACTAATTATTTTAATTACTTAACTATTCGAGCAGGCTATGGAGAGTTATTATAATATGTATATCAGCGTTTGCTTTTTTACTGAAGACTATAGGTACTCTCGTAAATTACAAAAAAAACTAGGTCTTTTTTTATTAGTAATGGGCAGGCATTTGGCCTCTATCGTGCTTTATGATAAGCGATGATGCGATCTACGATGGAGCACGACTTCCCATAAGCAACCAATTCAATGTGGCCCTGAAAAATCCCACGTTATTTCCCTTTGGGCACACAAACTCCAGCAAAGAACTCCACTCTTTAGCGGTTCTGATTGTAAAACTGGAGGCGAACCGCTCTGTATGGTTGGGCTATCCACCGAATCTATAACTTTTTACTATTTGAAGTCTAACTTTTGACATTTAATAAGTAAATGTTAATGGTTTAGTTGAAATAAATGATTTTGATTTTGACTTTTACTTGGAAAATGTGTATATCATCATACATATTATGTCCACCCACTTCCCATCAGTTATGCCCAATGAAAGAGTGTGCCTATTTCCATATTCCATTCACAATACCACATTCCGTGCTGTGAAGTTTCCAAAAAGCGGAAAGAAGTACTCTAAAATATAGCCGCATAATAGTCTGGTATAACAAATATATGTAATCTCATCTGAGACAGAAGCGTACAGTGATCGTAAAAAGTTTAGATTAAAAAAATTGGCATAAGTATTCGCATTTGGACATGGTAATTTTTATAAGCATAAAACTTAAAGATAAGCAATGGGACTATAATAAATACAACAAGAAACTACTATTTAAAATTGTTGGTTAGAAGTAGCTGTTTCTCTCAATATCGATATAATTATCATAAACCTATAAGTGCCTACTGCTGAGCAAAGGTGTTGAAGACCAAAACCCAGGACAAAGTAACGAAACCATAATAATTTTATTTAATATTTTTAGTTCAAATTTTGCAACTAGATGGCGTTGCCGCAATTAAAAGCGAGCTATGGTTTCGTTACAACAAATAGTATAAGTCTGTAATTTCTTTTGTATTTAGGGTTCGAATTCGTAGTTCACTTAGTTCACATTTCATAGTTCAAATATACGAACCAGCAGTTCAAGCATACTTAAGTGGTTTAATTTCAACCATATTAGTTGCTACAGCAGAATCAGCAGATCAACGATTAGGTACTTCGGTAATTAACAAAAAGTCTCATACCAATAAGTTTTGAGCATTAATCGCCACGCTTGCTCAAGGCGGTTTCGGTGCTCAAGGTTGGCGATTTCAAACTGATGTTTGCAGAAATTATGGCAGACCTCTTTTACGAAGGCTTTCAAGTAGTCCAACATCTGGCTTCCTGCACTGTCACAGGCGCGAGCTATTAATGTTGATGGAGGTATGCATAATTCAATCAAAAATTTGCGCAGCATTTTAAACGCTCAGCGAAACATGTGTAGGTACATAGTTCCTATTAATATCCTTATACAGGGTGTAAGGGACAGCCCTCCGCAAACTGATAGGGTGGATTCAGTATATCGTCTTAAGTTGACCGGTACATGAAATTATTTCAGGAACGTTATGGGAATCCAATTAAACCGATTTGTTTCATTACCTTACACGCAATGTATCGCTACCACCGCAAACGCACGCAGCGAACGGCAGCGCTTTTAGTATTATTACTTTACACTATGGGCAGCGCCGCGACCTTACGTTCAGACAAACGGTCGCGCTCGCGCCACGTTTTAATAACAATAAATTATTATTTAAAAGATAGCCGCATTACTTACAAAAGACAATGTAATAATCGCGCTCCCGCCACGTTTTAATAACAATAAATTATTATTTAAAAGATAAATTATTACTTACAAAAAAAATCTAACAATCATAACATGGTAACTGATAAATGATAAAAAAAGAAAAATGCGTAGGTACCTTAGAATCGCTCCGGTTTCCGGCTCTGGAAAGCATTTGTGATGCGGTCTCGCATTTCGTACTCACTTGCACACGCACTCACAAACACTTTTTCTTTTACGTAACCCCACAAAAAGGGATCCAAATGGGTTAGGTCTGGGGATCGTGCTGGCCACGGTTGCGGTCCAAACCTACCTAAACTACGTTTAAATAGGAAAGCACTGGTAAGTGGTAGCGTCTCCTTACGTTAGCGAACCAATTCCAAAATCCACGTAGGTATTGGTCTTCCGGCGCCTTTTTGTCTGGGAACAATGGGCTGGTTTTCTAGCAAGCGTTGATAGTCACCAGTAATTATCCTGGAGTCTGATGGATTGCGACGGTCAGGATACCTACACTACTACAACACATTATCATCTCCCCATAATCACGCGCGCTAAACGTACATAGGTAGTAATTTCGCACAATTTCTACAACAAAACTTCACTACACTTCACACACTACATAACTAATAAAACTTAACAACACTACTTATAACAAAACTTTTAAGCCGAATGCGCGAGCGATCCGTGCCGACACACGCTCGCGGTACACAAACAATAACATCGCAGCAAGGCACAATGGCGACTGCATGTGATGAGACACACACAAACATAAATCTGTTGTTGCCAATTACACGAAAATTACAAAATTTCGGGGTAAAAAATAAAAAATTATGCATGGTCGTAATTTATCATTCTGTTATTTTTTGTAGAGAAATGAATTGATTAAATCAATTTAATTCTAATTTCATTGTTTAGTTAATTTAGAATAATAAAAGTGCAGTGTGATAGAAAGCTGTGCTTCCATTCCAGGGAGATTGTGTTTAATTTCTGGCTCGACTATCAATTCATGGCTATTGTGAAGCCATGTAAAAATCTGTAAGTAGTTTAAAAACTAGCCAGTAATCGCTTAAAAAGAACAATCAATTAATAAATTAGGTAGTATTTGTAAATGCTTTAAAATTAAAACTAGACTAATCTTTATTTATTTCTTATTCAATTTATGTGCGCGACAAGATTTTCATTAATTGATTAATGAAAATCTCATCAACGTAATTATGAAAGCAAAGGAGTTCTCAAGTTTTAGATAAATTTCGCTAGTTCTAACATTTTCGTTTACTACGTGAGGTAACAAAAGTTAAAAATTGGCAACACTGGTTCAATCGGGCAAACATTGTGCAAAGAATCGGGGAGACGGGGAGACGCGGAGGCGGGGCGATAGAAAGGGACGCAGCTATTCTGTACGTTGGACGGGATCGTAGGTATTATACCTACGGCGCGCGGCGCGGCGATCGGCGCGGTGGGGCGCCGAGCCGCTGCGCCGTGACCGCGGTGCGGTGAGTTCAAACGACTCGCGCTAGGTAGAAATTGAACAGCTGATTTCATGCGTAGTTCTTTAGAGAATTCACACAACCATTGCGTATTTTTTTGTTTTAGCTGTGTTATTTACATTAATGCTATTTTCCATACATAGAATGTAATTATACATTGAAATAGAGGTTTAGGAACTGAAAAAACGAAAAAAAAATTAAAAATTTTCCTGAAAGAATTTTCACTGGAATATGATTCAGAATAAGGAGCTGAATGCACCCTGTTAATTTGTGGAGGGCTGTCCCTTACACCCTGTATTTTGTTTACAGTCGAATGCAGACGGAACATACATTTGCTGTTCCGTTTCTGCCGTTGAAAGAACACCATTACTATAAATAACTGTTTGCGAAAAAATTAAGATATTGGAAAATGATAAGCAGGTTAGAGAGTTTCTTTAGAAACGAACAACTCGCAAAACAAAATCAAAAATGCCACTAACCTGTGTGAGGAGTGAGAAAACGGTCGCCATGCCGACCTGGCCGACTCCAACCACAGACACCTTGTTGCCGGTGTCGATAATCTTCTCCTGGCGGCATTGCAGCAGTTTGTCAACCGTTGCCAATTTACCTGAGGACAATTAAGTTGACAATTCAAATATTATAAAGAGGTAAGTAAGTTTGTAAATTTTTATGTAGGGGGTAATGTTTAGAACCGCTGGTCGGATTTCCAAAATTCTTTCACTAATTGATAGCTACAATATTCCCGAGTGTTATAGGCTATAAAACATCACGCTACAATCAAATGGAGCAGAGCAGCGAGTGAAACCGCACAGGAGTAGCCAGTCTTTTATGTTAAGATATTTTAAAGTTACTTTATTGTAAAAGTAAAATCATCAAATGCCTTCTCTCCCAGGATGAGACGAGAGGGATTTTATTATGGAACAAGCCTATCACGACCTCCCAATACCACATCCGCTCCTGTTAACCAGCATCTACAGTAGATACAATCATGAAAACACCGAAACACTGGAGGGCGGCACTTCCAAGGGACTTGTACGCGTGGACGTGTGGACACTTGTTTTGGATACCGCTACGAAATAATATCTCAGACGATATTATTTGAGCAGAAAAAAACAAAAAAGTTTCATTACGAGAGGCGAGAGGGAGAATCAGACTCTTACTGACTCCTCTCGTGAGAGGTCGCCGCCAACCACTCCACGGACACGGTGGTGCTCAGCCCAGGATTTTAAAGTCACTTATGGTGTAAGTCTAGGAGCTCCGCCATAGGTTACGGAGTCTGCGACCTTGAAAATTCTACTGTGTAATAATAAAAGTGATTACGTCATTATTATACAGCGGTTTCCTCACGAACCAGCGATACATGTCACACCATGTATCAAAGTGCAAGATTGAATAAATGTGGTGTAATGTTTGAGAAGAACAAGAAATACTAATTTTGAATGCGCGCGCACGCATGATGTCGCGGAAATTGTAGTCAGTAGTTCTCATTGTATGGTTTACGTGTCTCGACTAGACAACGTATGATTGATGGGAATAATTAACTATTAGGTACTTGAAACTACGGAAAATAGTTAGTTTTTCACATCACCATGATTGTACTTAAAGTTTTTATTGGGGAGTTTCCTTGGTCATACGGATACGGTCATTCGACGATTTGTCGATATGTTATGACGTCACACGTTTCGATTTGATGCAAATTAGGTACATAGAGAATTTTTAGGTATATGTTTAATTATTATTATTTTTTTAACTGTATGGTGGGACGGTCAACATTTCTGTTGTCTAGTTAAGATAAATTATTTGACTTTAACTTGAAATTCTCTATCGTTACTAATATTATAAAGAGGTAAAATTTGTAAGTTTGTATGTAGGGGGTAATCTTTGGAACCGCTGGTCGGATTACCAAAATTCTTTCACTGATAGATAGCTACAATGTTCCAGAGTGCTATAGGCTATAAAACATCACGCTACGATTAAAAGGAGCTGAGCAGCGGGTGAACCCCGCGAGAGAGTAGCCAGTTTTTAATATTTGGATAAAAATATAGAATTTAATCAGTTCCAAACGACCGTATTGCATTATACCGTATGGTAGATCTGCATCGATATGATTGTTGCCTGTTGGGATGGTTAAGACTATATTACTAAGGTATGGCATACTTTAGTTAGACTACAAAACGAAGGCAAACAGCAGGTGTCGACTTAAAAAAAAGGTTAATTCGAATGCAGATCTATGCGTTATCTATAAACAGATGCAAAGAGAACGGATGTGTACCACCAACGCGTACACTATTCAAACTTATCTTTTTTTGTGGCAAAATATCGTAAATATTGTGTCCCGCTCTGGGCGGGGCGAGAGAGAGTGTCATATACGTTTACTGACTAAAAACCGCCCTGTGCCTTTACCTGCTTTGAGCCGGGCACGTTGTGCATAATTTCGCTTGCACTCGCAACCCCGGCTCGACTTATCGTAGTCTTTGCCAATATTAGGCCCATCGATATAAGAACCCATCGAAGCTAGAATATTCAGAAGCTAGATCTATATAGCTACAAATGAATTGCACTAACGTTACAAGAAGTATGCTTTGGCCGTTTTTGTATGTAGATATCCTTGCACAAGAAACGGCATGCAATATCTTTGTTTATATGTGTATACATACAGCTGCATCTAACTTTGTGCATGAGAATGTAGCATCGTTACCCAAACGACCTACATATCATGTGATTTTTGTGAGTTATTCGGTCTTTCTCAGTTTATATACAGCTTGATATATGGTAAAGAAAGTCATCGTGAGGACAAGGTATCCTTTTTTTATATAAAACGTTGCCCCACTCTACTTGGCGAGGGTGCTTTTACAAATATACAACGTCACATACACAAAACAACAATTTGTGGATCACACAAAGAGTTGTTCCGTGCGGGAATCCAACCCGCGACACGCTGCGCGGCAGCCAGTTGCCCAGCCACCACGCCAACCGTGCAGGCAAACTTGGAGTTGGCCTAAAAATTTCAATTTAATGGCTATTTCAATAGCCAGTCCGCCTAAAGCAATGTTGTCGATTCATGCTCAGACCTTTCCCATGAGAGATAAGGCCTTTGTTTAGAACTGAGTACATATAAGCTGATGATGTGGTGTGATGTGTGAAACCAACAAATATTGACGAACCTTGGTGACTAGTATCCAAAGACATTGGATCTCCTCCTACCCCAGGATCGGTGTCAGTTATCAAGTCCTGAATGCTGATAACATCTTGGTCATTAGACATGAGTTCTACAATCCATGGACACAATTATTATTATGGATACGTATCTACACACTACACGAAATCCCCCAACACTTGTGTCACCGACCGAAATGTGATTTCGCAAATACCTTATTCGTACATATTTTGTTAATTCAAACACAATAGTTACTGGAAACTAGTTTTTACGTTAACAATAAAATACTTTATATATTTCTTTCATAAGTCCACGTCTGAAGCTGACAAATGTCAAAGTCAATAAGATATACATATTGTATACTTTTTAATATTATTATTTTCTTCTAGAACAACTGAGTTTTCTATGTACGAGTACTGTAGAGTCTTATTTTGTCCATGGACAATACAGTGTCATCATTATCACCATCAGCCTTTAAGTCCCCACTGCTGAGCAAAGGCCTCTTCTCGCACGGAGAAGGCTTAAGCATTACTTGCTCAAGGCTGATTGGCGATTTCAAACTTATAATTAGAAATTGTAAGTCCAGGCGTCTTCACGGTGTTTTCCTGCACCGTTTGTCAGTGGTGTCTAAATAATCAATTACGTGGAAAGTACATATAACTCTGAAAAAGTCACATTGATACTTGCCAGGTTTCGAACCCTCATGCATGAGGAGTAGGAACCCTATCGAAAGGGTCACCACGACATTTGCAAGACAGTGTAGAGCAGATAAATAAACATGTTGGTAGGTATAGCAAGTTCATGATTTTTTACAATCATATGAACAACGTTTTATAGAATATCTGATTTATATTTCCTAGGAATTCGAAAGTGCATTAATTTGCCGTTACCTATTGGCACTGGCTGCATAGTCGAGAGCAAGGATTTGGAGAAGCAGTTGTAATCGAGACAAAATCTTAAAAGTGGTACGATTATCATCTAGGGTATTAGTATAAAGTCAAATAGTATTTTTTTATTCGGATATTTAAGGAGGCATGGTAACCCCAAACATAGCGCTGCTTAGTTGTTTCACGTCGGTTTTCTGTGAAGCCGTGGTATCACTCCGGGCCAGCCGACCCATGCATGCCGAGGCTTCCCTCTCCCACACTTATGATGTAGGCTTGATATAACGTTTTATTCAGTAGCTTTTGGTTCAAGTCTAAAAACGACTCATTTTATCATAACAATATTGAATACAGATACAAAACTATATCTATTTACGAGAAGACTAAGCTCCATCGTATTTCTGTTCCTAGGCAGTAAATTAGGCAGTCAGGTGGTAAAACCGACGCTCGAGTCATTATTTCTCGGGTCAATGTTCAGACGAAGGTCAAGTGAAGGTCATACGAAACAGAGTCCATATAGGTACCTAATACAGGTATACATCAACTGCCTTAAGTATGTGGGTTTATGTGAACCGCACCATATTGTGATATTAATAAGAAATAAAGACAATAGCTTGTTCCTTGTTTAGGAGCTACAGTTCCAAAATGGCTGATAAGGTTTCTGTCGGCTGAACTAGATATGATAGGTTAACGTTACCACACAAATTTTCACCAAGTAAGAATGTGTTAGTTAAGCTGTCATTAACTTATAAGATACTAGCTTTTGCCCGCGACTTCGTTCGCGTGGAATACTAGACTTCCTGCAGATGTTTGGTATAACATCCTGTGTCATTTCTGAAGAAAAGACAGACATAGTTACTTATACATAATTATAAGTTTGAAATTTGGTCTCCTTTTTCGTGTTAGTGTTATGGAAATGCAAATAAAGTATTGTTTATGAATAAAAGAAAGGCTTTGTTAATATAGTTTCGCATCTTCTATGAAGATATAAAATTTTCGTATAAAATGAAGATTATTCTAGGCGGCCTAAAATCGGCATCATTATGATTACGTTAATGTTTTAATTGCGTCTTTCAAGCCTGGAGTGGAGATTATAGAGTCGTGTGAAGTTTTTGTTGTTTTGGTGTATGTGATTCTATCAATGATATATTGACAGGACATATTGACCTCCCAACCTATAAGTAGGTCAGATAGATTTTTTTTTTTCAAAGTAGATTGAAACTACCTAGTGACTTATTAATATGAGGAATACATTTTTTTATTATACTATAAATGTTTTATTAAACATATGAAAGGAAAAATCAGATATACCTTGATAGGCTTAACAAGGAAAATATGGAACTTATCCTACATTTAGCCTTTTAACAAATCACATAGGTACTTTCTAGATAAATATTATACCACATTCAGCTGAAGTTACTTTTTATAAATCGTACTTATTTTTAATATTATATGGGAAAAAAATAAAACATTACTGGTAAACTGCTGACATTGCAATTAAAAAAATATCAGAATGTAAGTAACCTTTTATAACCCTCACCAGGCTCGAAACACTAATGACACTAGCAAACCAAAGGGATGGGGTCCCTCTTCTTTTGAGGAAAGAACTACACCAGTTTAAGTGGGTCCGTTCTAAAGAAAGGCAAAAAACCTTTATCCTTAAATGTTCGGCAACGCACTTGTAGCTCCCATGGTGTTGCGGGTGTCCATGGGCGGCGCTGATTGCTTACCATCAGGTAATCCATCAGCTAGTTAGCTGACAATAAAAAACCTATACCCCGTTAACCCTTAGATCGATGGATTTTAATATCAATTGTAACCTTAGTACTTTACTTTAGCGTAAGTATTTCTAGTACAACATTCTTGGCAATTATTAATTGGTGTTCAAGTGAAGCGAGTTGTACAATACAATAGTACCGAATGTACCTACTAACTCGATTATTTCTCAATATTCAAGCTATCGAGAAATTTGTTTAATTCATTATTGCAGCCCATGCAATAATAATAATTAGGTATATAATTGACAGGTACCTACTCAAGTTTACCAAATTTGAAAAAAGTTTTTTTAAACATTTTTATTATTAACTCTTGATTTTAAATTTATATATATGTATAATTATAAATAGTTGGTCTAATCAAATTAGATTTTATAAATAAAGATTTTAGGAAACTAATGTTTTTTTTACAATAATTGTATTCGTCAAATGCATCCAACGGAAAATCCTAAAAGGAAAGTTATTTATGATTGCCGTTTTATATATAATAATGAAGGTTAATCGCCTCTAATTGCAGAAGGAAAAGTTATTTACGGACATAATAATGATGCTACACAAATTAAAATTGCAACCTGCATTGCTGTGCAAACCCATAATTGTGCAAAAACCATGAACTTACCGTTTCCATTCTCGTAACTGTGGTTGTTAGAATTATTCTCAGCCATCTTCAAAATTCTCGATCAACAAATTAATTCACAAAAGTTATCTTTCACGTACGTAGATAAAAGCGATCTACGAAAACTTTGACAAAAGGTACGACCTCACTCTACCACCGTCGGCGATTGACTGAAGAAAGGAACTGAATGAGCGAACCACACCGGCCTGCTTTTATCGTGTGAGCTGAACCAGTGAACGGTTGAACGAATGATAAAAGCCGCAGATGGCGTACGTGTGAAAAATTTAGGGAGCGTCCGTTACGCGCAAGTTCTTTGCACCAGAGACTTGGTGTTGTGGGTTACATCAAGGTCAAACACGCAGAGGGAAGGTCAAAATAAATTAACAATGAAAAGGAAACAATAACTAAGTAGATTTAGTAATGAAAAAAGAAATAACAATTAAGAATAAAACTAAGCAAATTCCGAAAAAAAATTTCAATTTTGTTAAAAAAGGAAAATGTATAAAAAGTCCCTAATGAAGTCACGAGCGAAAAATACACAAATTGATACTTTGTGATGTTGGCATGGCATCCAGTACATAAACTCGTGTGGCATGAAGCATAAAACCAATTAATTAATTAAAAAGAATTGAATCAACTATTATTGCATTGCATTTTATGCCGTTGCTAATGGATTGCATCACCTGGACGATGAATCAAATAAAGTACCAACCTACTTAGTAGGTACCTAGGTATATACATGTAGTATGTAGAGCTTTTTCCTCTTTAAACAAGGTTGTTGCTATGGAATAATATAATGCTATGGATGCTGGACTACAAACTGAAGAAGGTAGGAGCCAAGACACCTAGAGTAAAACTTCTAATCATTAACGAGACGCTGTTTTAGTAGATCAAATCAAATCAATATGACGCAAAACTGAAAAAGTTTGAGAAAGAAGTAAATGTTTAAATGCTCTCTGCATTAGTCCGGAAATAGAAAGTGCAGTATTTAGTCACAGGTGATATGTGTATACTCGTAATGGCGTGAGCACGGTCACGTAGATGGCCAGTCAGCACAGCTGATGTTGTGGCGGCGTGTGCCGGCTCGCGTCGTCCCGTCCGTTACGCTCAAGGTGACCTTCAACAGTTAGTTTTGGACGCCGTGGCACCGCGCATGCCCGAATCCAGGCCGTTGCTCCCACAAAAACACGCCCTAATCCCTCATCAGACGCTCGCAATTGCAATAACACTGAGTTTTAAACAGGACTTCAATCTACAAACCGGCTTCATCTTTATGAGATCTAAATTCAGCTGTATGATTGCACCATTAGCTCTAAAGTTGAATAAAACTTATCTAGAATTTAGACTATTAGGTAGCTATCAAACTAATAAATAATTCGGTACTTTTGAGTGAAGAGTTCACTGACCTTTGATCTGGTAGGAAATAAAAAGAGAATGAAATTACTTTTCGCAAATAAGTGCCAATTTCTTGTAAACTTGAGAAGTTTTTTTGTTAAGGTTTCCTAATACTAGTTTTAAAAGAAACTGCATAAATTGAGGAAAAATTTTTATTAACACCACAAATAGGTTTAGGTACCTACATAATACTAAGTAAATAATAATAGTATGACCACAACGTTTAGGTATGCCTCTTAAATGTTAGGTACGACTGACGTCATAAGACAATGTTAACAATACCATACCTGAATAAAAGATGTATGGGGACATTATGATATTATTTTCTTAGTAGCCATTTGCAGTTCGGCAGTATTTTCCGCACCACGACGCAAAACAGTCGTTTCGTGTTCAGTCAGATTTTGTCTGATGATGTTTGTGACTCCGTTTGCGCCAACCACGCAAGGGAGGGACAGGAAAACTTCGTCTTTAATCGAGTGTTCGCCCTGCAAAGGAACAATGTTAAAATACTTCGTTTAAATGAAGCTGGACAACTAATCTTTATTAGACCAGCCATTTGCGGAGACGTAGAAGCAATAAGGAAAATAAATAATACTCTTTTCTACCATAATAATTATGATGATATGCATAGAAAGTATAACTATATAAAAAATAAAAAAGTATACTGCTGGGCCTAAAGGCCTCTTCTCACACAGGGAAAGGTTGAGCATTAATTGCAACACATGCTCAAGGCCAATTAAGAGCAAAATTCTCACCGTTTTCTCTCGTTCTCACTCGGCGATTCTTCAGAGTATGTCAGAGGTGTCTTAAGTATCTTAGAATTTAGAATGAATCCTAATCTTTTATGGTATAGGTCTAAAATATTGCCAAATTTTTTATTTGTAGTTTATAAAATAACGTTCCAAGAAACTCAGTTGCCAAATCATTAACAGGTTCAGTTAGCAAATAGATTTTTCTGAAGGTTCTAAGTTATAAAGCAATGTAATGTAGATTTTCAATCGTACCTTAACATAGGTGGAAACAGGGAGTATTTTGTTAGAATTATTAAATATACATTTGCATATATTAGCCACGCCCAGAGCCAGAGACCATGTGACGCAGCCCTTGAGGTTACGCACGAGGTTCTCAGCGTTCACTGCGTCGTTATACAGCTCGAACCAACACTCAGGGTCCTTATCGGAACCAATCTGAGGATTCAGGTCTTTTAGGAGTACACCAGCTACGTTAACGCTGGACCATACTGGGACTGGAAACAAAGAATTAGATGTGGACAAAGTTGTTACTACTGCAAAAATTGGAAAAAAATAATTAATGTTGAATAGACTCAGTCAGAAATGGCTTCTGTAGGTATTATAGATCGTGAACTTACAAGCGAAAAAATGACAGTTTCACCTTTTAAACACCCCACACCAGGAGATACCCCTGTTTTTTGATTCGGGCAATATTATTATAAATACAGAAAACAAAAACTATCATCTCCGTAGATAAAATAAGTTGATCTGCCTTGTTTTCATGATGAGTGCAGATCAATTCATTATTAAAGCGAAAAAAAAGCAAACATTATCCAATTTAGTATACATTATTATACCATTACGAGCAGGCAGACCCAAGGGAAATCCCTTCAGGTACTACTCTAGAAACAAAACAGTAACAATACCCTTCTAAATGATCATTGTTTATACCGTCAACTATACGTGGTTGTCGCAGTTTAACATAAAAACCACTAGGCCTGTAATATGGCCATGGAGTTCTAATTCAAAGTTCTTACCACTGAAATGTGGTCCATGCTGGCCAATAATGTACGCATGGCAGGAATCTGGGGAGACTCCGAATTTATCACTCAGCAGGTATCGAAAACGAGCCGTATCCATCAAGGTGCCGGTGCCGATAATCCGATTCTTCGGCACACCAAGTAACTTCCACGTGACGTAACAGAGGATATCCACTGGTTCGCTTGCCAGTATGAAAATTGCATTCGGACTGTAGTTTGCCAGCTGGTGGGTAGAAAATGTATTCATTGACTACTTAAATACTTTTACTACTTTACGAGTAGTTGGGGCGATAGGAAGTCTTAGACTCTTACTACGAAGTCCCAGACTAAAACCACTGACTAAAACCCACCCCATTCCTTATCCTTCTCGGGCCGTGGTTGCGGTACATTATTGGACTTGCACTCTATTGGGCCTCATCTGTGGTGGTCTAATGGAAGACTCTGGTCTTATCTGGTAGCTATATAAGACTTTTCTCATTTTACATCAATATTTGCGATGTTATATAAGATTTCCAACAAATTTGTGAGACAAAAAATGTGTGTGTGCCTCTATGTAAACTAGAAAATGTGAGAATTTATTTGTTATTCTTCAGCTAAGTATTTAATACACTTGTAGACACGCTAGTTAAGTACTTACAGGCGTAACAATAGCTCTTGCGATGCCCGCATTCCGAGTTACGTAGTCCAAATCATCTTCGTCCCTGCCCTTGAAAGTCCCCGTGGTGACGATACATACTTTAGAGTCTCGAGACTCACAAGGATCTAACATTAACAAAATATTTATTAGATTTTCATGTTTAAGCTCTGATGTACTGTTCTAAAATGCATCAGGTATTTTAAGTTATGAGTATGTAGTAGAACATTATACTCTTGACGATCTATATTTCAAACTTCTATTAGATACAGCTTCATCCAAAAGTTGTCTGTAAGAGATCGCCTTGTGCGATAAGCCCATTATTTTATACACTAAATTTTTGGAAGGTGTCCTATGTAACATATTGTTGTGTACAAGAAAGTAAATATTAATATATTATAATATAATCATGCATAACTACACGACCAGGCACTGCACACATGCATAACTGTGCATTTTAAAGTTACTTGTAAATTGGCAGAATAGGTACTAAATACATTTTAGGTCTTTATTTTTATTGGATTACGTGAGTGATATTAACTTTACAATGACCTTGAATAAATACCTTTGCTTGAAACTATCTTCGGGTTGTTCAGAAAGAAAGCGCTCGACTGCAGATCTAAATGTTCACCTTCCAGAACTTCTTCGTTCATATCAATCATACATATGTTGTTTGTGATACCCTAGAATACAACGTTATTTTCGTTGCAATAAGGTGAACTTTGCAATGGAATAAGGTTCTTTATAGGTAGATCGCTGGGTTTAAATGACATCCTTAAAATAATTAGGTATGGTTTGATAGACCTTAGCTCGTCAGCTAATACATTGAGTTAAATGCTAATGTTTAAAGAGTCCTATAACTCAATTTCATCGGAAAGTTCAGTACGTTATGGGATTTTAAATCCGAACTGGAATAATTACAAATATGAATGAAAATGTAATAGGAATAGATTAAACAGGTATATGTGCGGGGTGATAATGGACGCGAAAGGTGAAGTGATGATGATGATGATGGTGATGATGATGATGATGATGAAACAGGATTATAATTCACCTGGGCCAGCAGAGTGTACACAATTGCAATTCCGATATCGTCTATGCCCACAACAGTAACTTTGTCGCCATACTCAATAAATTTGTCCGCATTTGAGTTCAAAGCCTTTCCAATCGTTGTAAACTGTTTGCAAAGACGAACCTTACCAGCTGGTTCTGGCGGGATGCCAGTACTTGCGTATTTAATACCTGGAGAATAATATTACGCTAATTATATTATGTTATACGGCTTATTAACCCGGCCAGTTTTAAGACACTTCAGGGTATGCTGATGATATAATTATCCTGAGCAAGCAATCATCATGCGGTCACCTAATGTTATTTAAGACTACATTTTTGCACAGTTAATTTAAGCGGTCAACATAATTTTTGATACAATTAATTATAATCAAAAATTTAAGTATTATACGTTAACTTTGCATTGTCCATGCACTATATACCCGGAAGCGTGAGTGACTTTCGTCAGTCGTCATGATCGTCACATCAGGCACAAAAATTTCCCAAATGCTAAAATTACATTTTATCTGTAGTGTATACGGATAAAATTAATATTGTAATTGTTCCAGGCACCCAAGTTCGAATAACAATCGAATCTGTGGCGAAAAAGTCCTCGAAACGTTAACGAAATATCGCAGCAGATCGTCACAATCTCCCTTTAAAAAACCCACGCTAACGTTGATTGCAGAACGTCGTACATTAGCTTCCACAACATTGAGAACCGGCTTCTCATTAACCCTCTCCAGAACCAAAGGTGAGCACAAGAGTAGTTAAGGTGTTGGTGATGTCCAAAAACCCTGTAACGATGGAAATGTACCCCAACACAACAGCCTCCATCCCTTGTGGACACAAGCTTGGCCGAACGCGAGGTTCCGTCCCTTCTGCATTAGGGCCACGTCAGACACAGAATGATATCAGCCTGGGCCATCCTGTGATGCCAATTTGGCCAATTATTTTTTTTGTTGTATTTATTATTGCTGGGACAAGGTTCTTGTCAAAGAAAATATTAGAAAAGCAGCGGTGAAAATTGGGAAAACATGACCCTGTCGTTGAGCGTTTTCCTTTAGCGAGAAAGTTGGACCCGTACGCGCTAGTAAAATGATAAACAATAAATATTCAGATAAAATCAGTTTGAATATATTAGTTTACCAAGAACAAATGTCATAATATTACTCACTGGATTGAAGAATGTCGTAAGCACAGAAAGCATTTAAAAAAGCCTGCTTTCGAACAAGGCTCGTTAGCTGCGGAACGAAGGGTTTGAGTGATAGCAACATCTCAACAAGATCACAATCCTTAAATTATGCGAAGTTTCTAAAAATATGACTTGTTATTTGTTGGAACTGTGTTTGACACACAGACAAGTCTTGACAAGTATATCTCTTTAGGGCGAGAATAATATAATTTTTCTACTACCGGCCATATCGAAAGAAAAGTTTGACTACAATTTTACAAAAACTGTTTGCTTACACACTCCTCATCCCCACCTCGTTGCTGTTTTCGATTTTTTTATAGATAACAGTATGGAGTCGTGAAAAATGTCATGATTACCCACTGGTGCCCGAGAGGGTGTGGTTCTAAATCCTAGCAAAGACACACACGTACCTACGCCTATAAGCCAGGAGTTGCAGTGTTCCCTTAGAAATCCTATGGTTGTGACATGTGCTAGCAGGTTACAGATAGCCTAACTTCTCCCTTGATAACTGGTAGATACCTAGACAGAAAAAGTATCCATTAAAAACCGATACGTGTCCCCTCTATTAAACTATAGGCTCAGGGGCTTTCGTGGGCGACGTTAGTAGTTTTAATCCGATCAATACAAAATAGCTTATCATATCCGCTAGTAGCCATGGCATATCGAGCCACACGACCACTTGCAGCTATTACACAAATAACAGTGGAGACGCAATGAGAAAACTTATCAGGAGAGCGGCCAAAGGATAACATAGTTTTCTCACAATTTTAACTAATATTTTTTTTTTGCTTTTGGACACCTTTTGCTAGGGCTGGTCGGATCTCCAGGCGTTTTGGTAGGCTGATTGCGTAGAGCTGTTCATAAATATGAATAAGAATTAAGCCCAAGCCCAAGGCTTTGGCCTCTAATAATGGTTTCGCACGGCAAAACACAACGTCCCATGGATTCACGAAGGCATTCCACGAGGTCGTGGTATCACTCCGGTCGAACGGTCCTTGAAGCAATGTTCTCCTATACTTAAATTTGTACTTATTATAGATAAGAACATTTTTTATTAAATGTTTTATGTTTGGTCTAAAGAGAAGACCTTGGAATATCAGTAGACTTCTTGAGACTGAAAATAATGATTTTCTTTCAAAGATTAGATGATAAGCTGTTTCTCGTCACAGACCTTAACATACAATCTGAGTTTGAATTTGTCTTAAAGCAGTTTTTAGACAAACCTTTAAAAGGAATCAGTAACGTTTATGTATGATAAATGGCAAGTGTATTATTAACCTAAATCTTTATACGTTTTTGGGGATTGAAGGAGTCTTTCTATTGTTTTGATAGGTCTTTTCTACATGCCAAGAGTAAAATTTTCTATGATTATTTAAACACCACTCGCCAACGGTAAAGGAAATTATAGTCAAGATACCTTTTTTGTCAGGGGAAAATCATCCAATTTCTTCTCCCGCCCTAGTGTCAGACTCTTACTGACTAAACACCCCCCCGTTCCTTCACCTGCTCTGCCTCAATAGTGAAGAATCCTGGACTTATAATTTCTAATTGTAGATAACCTGTGCCAACGTGATGATAAGGTAATATTTTCTCCACGTGCGATGAGGCCTTTGCTCTACAGAGAGTACTTATAAGCTAATGATGTGTAAAATATTCTGAAACCTTAATTTCTCCAATGACGTTTTCCTCTTTTTACGCGACAATATTTATATCCTGAAAGCGAGTGAGGCATTCGACCTTATTCATGCCAAACATGCGGGCTTTCTCTAAATATAACTGCAAGCCGCATTTAGCAGTGCATTGCTCCACGAATGGAAACCCAGGGTATGAGGAAGGATAGATCTTATATGACAATAATGGGTATTACAGCACAATTTAAATTTATACTAAGTATATTTTTATGTACATTTTGAAATAGTAAATCTTTATATAGAAACATAACAGGTACATTGAAATACCACAGAATAGAAAATACAGGTTGAAATACACAATAGATGACGTCACAAAGCTGTGACGAATTACACCATATATATACTTACCTATATTCTGAAATATTAGCTACAAAAAATAAAGCTTCATAATTTATTTTTTTGTATATCGTCAAATCATTTTGTTTTGAATATCAAAATGGTTAATGGCCTATATTGGCACAATACACTCAAGCACACAAACGCAGTACTTTGCACGACCCGGAAATCGAACGCGAGACCTCTTGTTCAGCAGCTGCACTTGCGTCCACCGAACCTATGAGACAGGCATAGCGCGATATACCTACGATATTGTAGTGTTTTGTTTTCAGGATGACTCACCGGGCGACCGTAATCTGCGCAAATATCATTCATAACATTTCTGCAAACAAATGATTCCACTGACTAATCTTATGAAATGGTGGAGAAATAATATTCAACATTATAAGAATCTGGGAAGAGAATGATCTTGAATAAAGATTTTTTAACGTTGGCCCGCACTAGGGTTTTCTTCTGTGCCGTTAGTGCGTTTACAAACATACAATTTCACATACATACACAAACCATTCAGACCCGAACCAACAATTTGTGGATCAGACAAAGTATTGTTCCGTGCGGGAATCGAACCCGCGACACGTTGCACAGCAGCCAGTTGCCCAGCTACTACGCCAAAAGTGCAGTCAAGATGTCAAATGACGTGACATATTTTTACATTATGCTAGATCCCATTTTATATTATATGTAGTAGGTATCTAATAAAACACTGTGATTCCATCTAAATATATAATTTTGCAATCTAACTAAATGTAGTGCGACATTGACCCGTCCATGTTATGGATAATAATTAACAAATGTTTTATTTTTTAATACTAAATAATATGTATGATAACATTATAGAATTACTTTATTTACGAGTATAATAACTGGTAAGAACCAGTTAAAGTATTAAAAAGTTCAGTACCCAGTAGCCAGTAAAGTCATTGTTGCCACCGTTGTTGATTAAAAAGTATACCTACCTTCGTAAAATGACGGTCAATAAGACATAGTTTAAGTGTGTGAGAGCCATACTTTGCCATAGCACGAATTGGTCGGCCCGTCCGGAGTGATACCACGGCCTTACAGAAAACCGGTGTGAAGCAACGCTTACGTGTTGTGTTTAGCCATATGATTAAGGTTTCTGGAGGCCCAGTCCTCCCCCATCTTTATTTCGTAAATCCACCATCTTAAAGCCCTACAATACAACAGGCAACGCACTCTTAGTAACTCCTGGTAATATGAGTGTCCATGAGTGACGCTGATTGCTGATCATCAAGCAATTATGACATAAAAATATGTTATAAGTTAGGTACAACCATCATCATCATCATCACCGGTAGGTACAAATAGAGTTTGCTAAAGTGAACGAATAGCCTTATGTCTACCAGTCTACACGACTACAGTTCTTCGATGATGGGTCAAAGCCACGAAGGCTCTTCAACCATTTTTTGGATTTATTTTATTGTCTCCTTTTATTTAATTTTAAGCTTTGCAGTGGGTATACATGGTTTATAACATATAAGTTTTGAAGCGTCAATATTATAATTAAAATTACAATGAAGGGCCTCTAATTTTTTATGTGATAGGACGGCTAACGAGCCCCTGTTTACCTAATGGTAAGCAATCAGCGCCGCCCATGGACACCCGCAACAACAGAGGAGCCATGCGAATGCGTTGCCGATCTTTTGGGGATTAGGGATTGGTAGAGGGAAAGTATTGGGCCTCCAGTAACTTTACTCACACGGCGAAACAAAGCTGTGGTTGTATCTAGCCCGTTTTCTATGAGGTCGTAGGAAGTATCACTCCGGTCGAGCTGATCCATTCATGCCGAAGCATAGCTCTTCTGAACTTTTACTTTAATGGTTGGACTTTGCCCTCTCCTATGTTGTCAGCTACACTACGTCACTGCTTTTGGCTTATTCATCATTAGAACCAATCAACATAAAAGATTTTTCCAGACTTCAATATTTTATTCGTCCCAAGTCCTTAACATGTATGTTGGTATCAAAGTAGGTACAGACTTTCGTCGTAAAACCGTTCCCGAATTGTTATAGCCACTCCTCGAGGCGTCTACCCAGAGGTCGTTTCAATGTCACCTTGTCCTGACATTGCCTTGAATGAAGCCAAGGCGATTTTATCCCGAAATGAACTTGTTCGTAACAAACTTTACTGCGTTCTTTATAGTGTGGCAATTTTTTAATGGTGTTTTATCAGACCCTATTTACCGTATGCTTAAATATTTGAATACAATTTTTATTTGTTTCAGTCATTAAGGATAGGTTAGATAGATATGAAAATCGGGGAATTGAATCTAGAGTCGATCGCGTAAATCTGTTATACTATGTGGAACTGCGATTTCAACTTTCTTATTAGTCACAATCTAGGTACATTGAAACCTATTTGAGTTGGTAATCGATTACCTAAGGATTGAAAGATCGTACTTAATTAATATCTATTCGGAAACTAAGACCCGTGTTGTCATTCAACTTCATCAAATTATAGAATACCAAAATTATCTTGCTTGCGTTTACCACAGATAATTATTAGTTGCACTATACGAATACGACCTCCATAAAGTGACTCATGTTTTTTTTCTTTGTCTATTTATGGTAAACACGGTGACAGACAATAATATTATGTATTTGTTATGTAATATTCTCTTTGACGACTACTGTCATTATTACATTTTTTGTGCAATCGGTGAAGGTGTGGGTATTGTCTGCGACAGGATAGGAAAATTAAAATACTTTCGTGTTTGATATCTTGCAAGGGAGCAAAGAAAATTTAAAATGAGTACTTGGAGACTGGCTGGACTTAAGTACGTGTTTTATTTCCTTTTTGATCTTTTTTTTTGATATTCACTGAATATTTTACACTCGAATATTTTTTATAGGTACATTAAGTACTATGACTATGAATGGATATATACTTACTTACATTTTTTATATACGTGAGCTAAGATCTTAGTAAATATTTGAATATCGCGAATAGTCAAGTTGCTACAGTTTGGTAAAGACTTAACTGTTGACTCTAACCTGTTTTAGCAAAGGGCACCTAGAAGAAGAAAAAAGGTTGAGGAGGATAAAACTTATGTGGAAGTATGGTTGTTTAGATGGATGGTGTTTTTTGAGAGGGTAAATCATCATCAAGGCTCTTTTTCCGCCTAGGGTGAGGCGAGGAATAGTGTCAGACTCTTACTGACTAAAATTCACCCCGGTCTTCTTCCTGCAGTCCGGGGCTACGGTACATTATTGCGCAACTTGACCTCCAGTCCTCCTGTAAATGGTTTGGCAAAAGTGGTCGTCTAACAAAGTTAGTTGCCGGTAGAACATTTATTTTAAACACATCCAATTTTCTAGCAACTACTCAGTAAAAGATAATCCTGGTACTTACCTATCCTACTTATACTTATTAAAAACTAGCTAATCTCGCGCGCTTTCACCCGCTGCTCAGCTCCATTTGATCGTAGCGTGATGTTTTATACCTAGCACTCAGGAACATTGTAACTATCTATGATTGAAAGAATTTTGGCAATCCGACCAGCGGTTACAAGCGGGTCCCTACATACAAACTTACAAATTTTACCTCTTTATAATATCAGCATAGATTAGTATAGATGTGAAAGTTTGTGAGAATTTAGATATTAGGTATGTATGTTTGTTATTATTTGACGCAATAACGACTGGACCGATTTGGTTGAAATTTGGTATGCAGATAGAAATGAAAATTGGAAAAAGGCAGAAATGCTAAAGACAAGAAAGAAAAATACATTATAACAAAATAACAACATAGAACTCTAAAGAAGATAGGTGATACGATGGATTAACACATAAGCTGAAGGAACTCATTGCTCAGTGATATCTATCGCTCTTTATTAATTAATTTAATATACATTTTTACAGCTACGTAAACTACTCGAATATTGCGGCGAATGTTTTACGAAAATCACTGAAAAGTGAATTCAGAGAAGAGGCGATAAAGCGGGGTATACCTGCCGTTAAATTTTTTTACTGGGAAAATGGAAATATGTTGCGTGAGTCTTTTTAAATAAATATATCTACTTATAAAGTTATAATATATATATACATATTAGGTAATAGGTACTTATGTTGATAAAAAAAATTCGATTCAATTTTTAAGATAAAAGTAGTAAAGTAGTGTTACTTTATTGTCCCTATACCTATGTTTAAAACGAAGGTGGTAATGATTCCTTCTTACATCTTCAATGGTACGTATGTACAATACCGTCAAAGTATCTTGGCGAGTCTGAAGTTAGCCGATCAGTTGCACAGTACACAATTTTGTTCCTAAAAGATCCATTGCGCAGACAAACGGCTAACTTCAGACTCGCCAAGATACGACGGCCGTACTGTACTTTAAGCGAGCGCCACATCCTTGTGGACCATATTGCTTTAATTTTATTACACTATCACTATCTCTTCATTCATTATTTTGTGTTATATGTAGATATAACGATATAACCATGGAAAATAACAAGGCTGCTGTGCAACGTGGCGTAATTTTGATTCCCGTATTAAGCAATTTATTACCAACCTGTATGTTAGTCTTTGAGAACGCCCCCACGCACGCACATGGGAAAACATAAATTGGAGCATTAATTTTTCACAGTTACCTACACACGTTGCCCCAGTTCAGATTTTATCCCGTGTCGTGGGTGCGTTTACAAACTGTATACACACGGATGCGTTTCAATGATTTGTAGATGTTTGTGACACAGAGAGTTAATTCTGGCGGGAATCGGAACTGCGACACGTTGCACGGCAGCCAGTTATTTTTTATATATTTTTTTTCTTATTTACAGCCCAAGGAGAGATGCTGACAATGAAAGATACACAACGAGTGGCGGCGAAAGCCTGACATGGGCCTGTAATGGCAACCAAATATATACTCTGTATTGTATGACCAGAGATTAAAAGGACCTATTGTTTTAAAAAACATATTTAGTTTCGATTTTTTATTGGTTAGCCACCATTAACACCTAAATATACACATCATCACACATCATCAGCCTATTATTACCCACTGCTGAGGGAAGGCCTCTTCTCTCACGGAGAAGGATTGAGCATTCATCACCAGGCTAGCTCAAGACGGGTTGGCGATTCCAATCTTACCTATAATTAGAAATTATAAGAACAGGTTTCGTCATGATGTTTTACTTCACCGTTTATCAGTAGTGTCTAATTAATCTTAGAAAGTACTAGTATAACTCAGAAAAGTGACATTGGTACTTGCCAGGTTTCGCACCTTCATGAATGAGATGCGGGCGTATTACCCTCCGGGTCAAAATTCCATCTTATCATCTTAATATTAGATGAGTATTTTCTTATTAGGATTACGATGGCTTTGCAATCGGTCGTACGGTTTTGGTAGCTATTTTATCCAACAGGTTGGTTGTGCTCCATTGAGCAACAATATGTTGCTGGTTGGATACCCAAGGCGTACATCTTTAGGTCCTAATTGCAATCCATATTCTTAACATTTTCGGTACATGATTTCAATAGATGAAGAATATGCCTAGAAGGTAAAAATTTATCTATTGTGTCAATTGTGTAATCCACATTCCAAGTTTATGTATCTAGATGTTTAAAATTAAATTTGTTTTTGATGCAAGCTGTTGTTTAATTTCAACCGATATCAACAAAATGTGTATGTTTGTCAGCGATTATCTCGCGATTGTCTTAACCGATTACGATGCGGTATGTTTTGCTGAAGGTGTACTTCACATAAATACAGGTTAAGCCTTAGAATGTAAAAAAGAAACCCTCAAATATTTGACATTATCATCGCAAGTCGCATTCGTACTAAAAACTTATCTAAGTATCTTCCAAAGGAATAATTACATACCATCAGTCAGTTTTGGGAAATATTCGGCCAATAGGGACAGGATACTAAAAAAAAATTATGTTTCCATTATTAGGACATAACTAAGTCGCTAGATAGTAGAACTTCACGCCATCTACTGGTCTTTTGCCGTACCTACTTTGTAGTCTTGAAACAAAATGGCTTGTATTATAGTTATCCAACTTTGGTATCTATATAGTCCTTTTAATATTTAGTTATACATATAAATAATGTAATTATATATCTTCAATTCTCTTCTTTGTTAGTTGTTATTCTAAGATAGAAGTATGCTGCGCCAAATAAACTTACATTTGCTATAGTCCGATTTTAGAATAGTTATCCCCTAAATAGTTTACCGAAAGCCAACTAGATGGCGTTTGTTTTAAAAATTAAAAAGAAAGAGGACAAATTTTACCGAATATACATACCTATGCTACATATTAATAGTTCTCATAAAAACACACGTTTTAACATTTTTTTTATTACATTAATAGCACATTGAATTGAGTATAGTCATAATATATCAGTCAAACAATGTCATACTGTAGGTTTTTAAGCCGGCTTCAGCATTGAAAGACTATCGCTATGAGCAATTTACACCATTACTATAATATGAGAACATTTGCAGAGAAAACATCGCAGAGCATATTTAACGCTTAGGCAATGAATCGTGTGAATAAAAGTGTACGGCGCAACATGTTTTTAGCGCAGCTGAAACAATAAATATTTCTTATAAAACTAAGCGAAGTAACCACGGTCCTCAAGTCAAGTACATATATATATATCTAGGGTTGCCAGGTCGCTAGGCTTTATAGCCGGACAGACCAGCCCGTTTAGCCGGAAATTTGGCTGAAAAGGCCGGACATCCTACATTCTTAAGGATTTTGTATCTCATTATTAATAGGTACGACAAGATTTAATGTAAATCAAGCATTTTTGATTATTGTTATTAACCTTGTTGAATTCTTATGAAATAATTAATACCTAAGTCTAAGTCTTTGTTTCGCTCCAGCCATGTTTGGTGTTTCGTTTCACTCGTTTGCGATTGTGAAAAGTTTAGGTAAAAAGCCTAACAAAAGCCGGACAGGCCGGACACCATTTATTTTGGCCGGACTAGCAATCAAAAAGCCTACCTATGTCCGGCTTTATCCGGACGCCTGGCAACGCTATATATATCTATATCGGTTTTGTGTTTACTGACCTCAGAATACAGAACAAACTGACGTAAGTTCCTGGAAATTACATATATCATAACTGCATATGTATTTCGTGGCCATGTATGAATAAAGTATTTATTTTTAAATCCTTGAGTTATATTTGTATTAGAAGAGTTTAATATTTGGACGGAGTTTTTCATAGAAAATTTTAAATGTCTGTTGAATGGAATTTGTAAATATTTGAAATTGTCACACCCGGTTTCCAAAAGGCCGATCAATGTTAAAATCAATTTAAACTCTTGTCGAGTCATCTGATTGGTTGACTGAATTATCAACAACCAATCAGATGACTTGACAAGAGATTTAACAGGAGATTAGTTAATTTTAGCGTTGACAAGCCTTTCAGAAACCGGGTGTGAGTCAGACTAAATGTTGCCAAGTCAATTAATAATTGTAATTTCAAAATTTTGTTTTTAAATTAAATATGCAGAAATGATGTAATGAAAGGTCTTCGTCAGTAGATGACATTAAGATTATTCAAGAAGTTCCTTCAAAGTTGCACTCAATATGCATAGATTTATGTTTTTTTTTTCATATAATTATATGAAAAAAAAATTAGGTATTGTTTTAGCTGCACTTTTTAAATACGCATTAATTTTTAGGCCTGTGAAACTTTTTAATACTTTTTTCGATCAAGATTAGTATGGATGAAACTTAGCTATACCTTTTTTATGCCGGGCCTGATGCCTGATGGTAAGCAATCTGCGCCGCCCATAAACACTCGTCGACCAAAGGAGTGAGAGACAAGTATGGGTAACCTCTTGTGGGTTATTAGAGATTAAAGGATATATTCTGTGTGGTAGTACTTTGGTCGAACCGGCCCATTCGTACCGAAGCATGGAAGTAGATATTATATTACATATTATTCAAAAGAAAACCAAATGCTTTTAAACTGCTTTAACTGCCAAACCCATTTTTTGTAGAGGATATAGTTCCACAGTGGTCTCTTTAGGTGTAGTACTGACCAAATTATATGAAGCATTCGCCAGTAATTATCATAACCAGTATAAAATTCTTTCAATTATGAAACCGTTTAAAAACCTCTTCGAAACACAATAACAAACTGTTTACAGAACGGCAATTTAAAATGGAAGGATTATACAAAGCACATAGCATTTAGCATAAAATTTGAATATAACACAGCATAGAGCATAAAAGTATTATGGACTAAAGTTGGCACGTACAATTTAAATCAGTATATAATATTATAATAGAGCTCATAATTCTTTATACTTGGATAAAATGTGATAAATTTTTACAGATATAAAATTATATAACATTGCGTGATGTATTAATTAGATCAAACGTCTCAATCACGCAACTGTTTAAGTGCAAGCTCAAAACAACACACATTATGAGACCTTTTTTTGTGAGGGGAAAATCATCAAATGATTTCTCCCGCCCAGGGCCGGGCGGGAGGGAGTGTCAGACTCTTAATGACTAAAAACCCCCCCTGTTCCTTCTCCTGCTCTGGGCCGAGGCCGCGGTGCCTCATTGCGCTTACCCCGCAACCCCGGCTGAACATCAGCCCTATGGGGCCCCGTCTGTGGTGGTCTATTGGCTCTTTGAGGCGCGCGGAACACTTCGCGCCGTACGCTCGGGTCTGGTTCTGGTCGGGCGGCGAGCTACCCTTACTCGCCGTCTGCAGACTAGCGCTTAAGGTGGCCGGATATCATTTCTCGACATTATGGGCTCTAGCGTAGCTTGAAATTCGTCGAGTAACCTCGCCACACTATTGCGTAACTAAGCCGAATAGTCTAATTAATTACTTATATATATTCGCTTTTTAATGCAGAATAGAGGCGGAACACGGATTTAAAGAACCTCAAATTGCTCACTCAAATCCGTAACCCGCTTTATTCCACATACCGTAAAACGGGCTGAATAGAATTTGAGGGGCGAATAGATGTTGGAGGACTTTCCTAGTAGGTATCAATTAACCCCTCTTTAGTGTCAATTCATCCCTTTTCACTATATGCCAGAAAGCTTTTTTATAAAAAGATAAGGTGCAATGTAACAATCATTGATTAACTTTAATAAGAGCCGGTTTTATAAGAATAGACACTATGTTCGAGATAAAATTGAATATAGAACGTGATTCGTCTGCACTATGTAAGACAAGATTATAGAAAACTTATAAAGCGTTTATAATGACGATTTAAACTGCACTGTATACACTTTTTCTACGATGGTAAGTGCACTAAATGTATATGTTGAAGCCAGTCATTCATTTAAGTTTAAGAATTTAGTAAGATTAATAAGTGACACTACGATTTAATTTGGGTAGCAATTTCTTTTCTTTGTTGGTCGCAAATTTAACCTTACCTAATACCACTCGATGGAATCATTGTTTTTACAATGACAATTCCTTCGCTCTTCAACTTATGGCGTGAATGAGACATCTTAGTGTTGTATCAAGCAAGTTGACTTGAAAATATATCTAAACAATATGCCTAATGTCCGGTTTACCCGGGCTTTGTGGTCAAGTGCTGCACGCCAGAGTGTGTAGTGCATATTCTCCTGACGTTAACACAAGGTTATGACGTCCGACACTCTGATTGGTTATCCCAAGTTTACCGACCAATGAAAGGGCCGAAAAATTTTGAACGCGGTAACGTAAGAATGTGATTAATGTGTTTTATTCGCATGTGATAAAGCGTGTAGTCTAAGTGATAGTGTGTATATTTTAAAGATTTTTGTGTTTTGAGAAGTTGAAAGAATTTCTTTTTGCTTGAAAAACTATCCTATTTTATATGTAGTAAAGATAACAATTCGAAAAGCATTTAGAAATTCGACGGATGAATTAGAATACTATTTAATCTAGATTTAAATAAGAATATAGTGCTCAAGCAGTAATATGTGTTGTAGTGTAGATATATCAAAAAACATCTAGATATGCTGTGACCTAAATATTATTATTAATACAATAATAAACCATTAATATATTTCAAAAGTCAATCTGTAACAATCGATATTAACCTCCTTGTAAAATTATTCTGAACAGTGATCCAGTGGCCTATAAATTATCATGATTATTATAACTATTTTAAAATCATTAAAAATTCGTTTTATTGCTTTTCATTAGTCGATTATTTTGTCAGGACTCGGGTTTTTGGAATTTTTTAAACTAAATTTATTTCCTATTCGTAGAGTCTTTGATACATTTTTTGGAAATACATATAATTAAAAATGTTTGCTTAAGTAACTATTACTTCATAATTAACTAGATTCTATTGATTCTACGGTACATTTAGATTCGTTTTTGTAATAATTATTTCACAAATATGTGTTTATGGTTAGGGAGCTAGATTTGTATTCTTACAATGTAACGTTTCCTATAAAATTTATTTTAATATCACAAAAAAACCTGATTCGTCAAGAGAAAAAAATGTAATTGCCCATTTTCAAAGTTCGTTATGATTGGTCCTTAATTAGAAAAATGTTCTTTGGTGTGTTTGAATAAATTTCACCTTTCTTTTTACACGTATAATAATTAATCTACAAAGATCAAGTTTTTAAGAAGTTAATGCACAGTGTTACATCATAATTGCATTGATTGAACCAATATGACTAACTTACCTTTAAGCGGTAAACGAGACTCACCTGATGGTAAGCAAGGATTTACCAGGAATCCCTAAGAATGAAGTGTTTAAATGACATACCCTAAGGTCTGTTTTAGCTATTATGGTCGTGTACTATTTGAACCACAAGTAATCAGTAATTAAGGAAACAAATATAATTAACTTGTTGTGTTTTGTTTTAGTGATACCTTGATTGTAACAACTAGTGAAATATGAATAGAATGTACCACTTGCATGTGCGTACTCTGTTGTCTAATATTAAGATCAATGTTTCTTATTGGCCAACGTAAAAAAAATTTTTAATAACATATTTTTATTTTGCGTTTTCACTTCCATTCATGGGACCACAGGATCCCGGATCTTTGGAAGGCGTACGAGGAGCCGAAGCCAACTCACAGAGGCCCATTGAACAGTTTTAATCTAAATGTGATGGGACATCAGCCGGCAATTATCCCCGTATGCACTATAAAAGTGCACCATATCCTATATTATTATTATGGATAGATATGTCGGTGTAAGTTTAGATATGTCCCTTGTCTCGAGTGTATAATCATGAACTTGGCAATAATTACAATAATGATAAATGTGTTTTTATAATAACTATCGTGAGACATACTAAATTAACTAAAATTCGCGGGTTACTCACGTGTAAATGATGAGAAAAGCTCTACTAGTTTCGAACCACAGAGGGGTTCTTCCTCATGAGCAGCGTGCGCGGACGCGGCGACGTGAGTAGGCTGCGCGACGTCGCCGCGTCCGCGAATTTTAGTTAATGATAAATGTCTTGAGCATTGAAATTATTACTAAAGAATTATCAAACCTATGCTAACTTCCGTAAGACATGAAGCTACTTTTTATGAAAGAAATTGACATTTTCATTTAGAAGCAAGAATAGACCTTATGCTTATATAAATAAATACTATCTAGGTATGCTAGCTCCCTAACCAGCTTGTATAATCTAATAACAACTGTAATATTGCTTATAGTTCTGCGATGGCATCGTTCCATTGCGGTGTGGACAGGTTAGATTGTTTTATATTCTTTAACAAAAACATCGATGGATTATGACCATAGTGAACTTTGTAACATACGCAACAATAGTACAACACCAATATCCTTAAACTTGGACATTAAGGACTGATTTTTCAGTAGTCAGATAAATGTTATTTGAGTAATAAAATTGTCACTGTCACTGTCTTATACAAACTGACGCGACAGCATCATAATTATTCCCAATTTAATATATATTTACCTAAACATTGAAAAATCAGCCCTAAATGATAGACATCGAATCAATTGTTATAAATTAATTATTTCGCAAGTTCATAATAGTATAAAAAATTACACGAATTGAGACAAGATCTGTTTTTATTATACATATAAAATACTTTAGACAACACATTGGAGGCAAATGCCCACGGAATGAGGGCAATAAGTCAACGAGGACAATAAGTAACCGTTCCTTTGGAAACAGGCATTGACCTCATAACAGTAAAATGATGCACATGTCAAATCTAACAATTCCTATATATTGTACCATACTAGCTAGCAACGAGCCTTTTCAAAATTGAAAAGACCAATAATATTGACTGACCAGCCCACTTCCCTAAGTTCTTTATCAAAACGAAACAAATATATGGAGATTACTCAAGGTCATATATAAGTCATAAATAAGTTTTTAAAGCGATAACGAACTTCGTAGGGCTGGTCAGCTAGGGTTATTAACCTTTCGTGTATTATAGACGTAGATTAACACGAGAGACTTATTTTCTATTGTGTCCTATACAACTGACATTTAACGCGTTGATACTGGTTGATACTCCTCGCTTGACAGTCACAGACTTCTCAGCACGTAATGCTCAGTACTCTTGAACTATTAAACCTTTATAATGTTGATACCGGTTACTTTATAATCAAACATATCAATCAACTTCATATTAAGTTAACAACATTTTAAACTAGTCGTATAATTGTGTAATTACTTTTCATATACACTTAATATTAATATACAATACATGTTACATAGCTTGGTATCACCCTTGGGACAAAACTCCCGTCCAACAATTTGTTACTGACGTATGCCATCCTATCTACCGTTATCGATTAGACTTACAACAAACAGTAATATAAAATACATATGTATATATATTATATAGTTATGTATAAAAACAGACATACATTTGAAATATACACAGCGTGAGTTCTTCTTGATTGTTCTTCTGTGAATGATTTTGTCACAGAAGTACAATCTACTAAACTGTCTTAAGAACGCCGTCCTGACTAACTAATACTATATTAATATAAACATTACATTTTTCCTTTATATTATATTACTTAAATCGTTCTGTTGTAGAAAAGCTGTTATTTAAATTCACGCTGTACAGTTTACCATACGATTATTACACATTCTGTTATCATACATCTTTTAAACATCAATAGTCCTATAAAATATATGAAGATTCCAATATAGTGAAAATGATTTCTTATTTCCTTTAGACAAGAGTGGATTTTATGTATATAATGTACTATGTGTTACAACTATATTAAATACATTAACGGCCATGTTGTAAGTTACATTTCATTTATGCATAAAAATTTAACAGGCAAGCCAGTCTGCAGGGCGGAATAAAAATCGCGTGAAAAATATTCTTTGACTTCACACAGACGCGATACAGTGCTAGAACAAATCCGCGTTAATTTTACTTCGCAATGCGGACAGGCTTTAACAAGAAAGATTATTTTGCTAGTCATGAAATATAATGAAAATGTATGTATGTGAACACCAATTTATAAAACACATGATCCTCACACACTGAATACACATTATCGAGCGAACTATACATTGAGTAGTATAAACGTACTACCGTACTATAATTCCTTAAATTTTCTAGTAAACATCATCAAAATATCAATGTTCCCCGTATAAGTTACACTGCATTACCGTTTCTCACTTTATATTCGTTTACAAATTCAGTGGCCAGTCCAAATTCCTCGTGTGCGTTTGATATGTTGGGGGTGGACACTGAATTGGTAAAGAATGCTTTACCTATTGTTCCTCATTATCGTGATCTGTCGGCTCAGGCTCGGTGTTCACGGCCTGGCTCTCAGCGTCATCGGTGAGGGGCTCAGGGGCGGGGCGACGGCAACTCGGTACCACGCCATTGTACTCGCACAGGCCAAAGATCAGGATTGCAAACCCGATCAGATGCTGCCAGTGGAAAGCTTGCCACCTCACCGCCAACGACACCATCCAGATCACGAACGTCCTGTTGATATGTTGTCATAATTTATAGTGTTTTGTAAAAACAGTATGGCAGGCTTTTGTAGTTATTGCAATTTTCTAGCGGAGAAGGTTTTATTCCCAAGTTGTCGAGTAGTTACACTACCAAACTTTTATTATAGTTGTATCAGTGTCTTGGGTTTATGCCCTTTTAGAAAAATCTAAAAACTATGTCAAAAGTTAAACTTCTCTGCTGCTTTAAAACTGTAAGTTAAACAGTGTTCGGTAAGCTACACGTTATTACTAGACACTATGAATTAAACCATAACCAGATACTTTTAAAAAATTCGACTTTTAAAATAGTCCGTTTGCCAGTGAAGCGAATCCAGAATATTATACACATTGAGAAAGTCTCTTTACTCAATGTACTTTAAATATGAAGTACGTTCGTCAAATATTTTCTTTTCTGATGTTTAGATAGAGAAACAAAGACTTAAAAGACTGCAATTCTCATTTGATGATATTAACAAGTTAATCGCCATGGAAGTCACCGGTGACCAAAGGTAGCGGAGGATTTCCCTTCACTTATTTTCTATCGGCAGTCAAAGGCTTAAATACAACGACAGTGGTTATTTATTTCGTACTTTTTAGAAGTGGTAGGTTTATGTTTGACTATAAAAAACGAGCTGAACAACTTACCTAATAGAATCTAGGACCATTCGGGTAGTGGCAGAGATTTCCTTAGTGACGCTGATGCCGGCGAAGTTGAAGAAAGCAATAGAAATGATCGTGCCCAATGTCGCCACTAAGATCAGGGGGTTGTTGCCTGTAACATGAAAAATAAGGACATATAGCCTAACGAAATATTTTTATAAGAAATTTGCAATTATTTGGGAGGAAAACAAAAAGGCAGGATCATTTTTTGCTCTTCAAACATTACATGAATGACCTCAATCTTAATAATATTAATGGCTTTTTATCACAGCAAAGCCTTACTGTTAATAAAATAATTTTTGGGATCCGGTTACCAATACTTTTCGGTATTGAAACGGTATAAAGTTTAAACGATAAAAAACATTCATCATAAAAAAAAACTTTTCAAATCAGTCAACCATAGCAGTGAAAATACGATGACATTTTATGTAGCATGGAAATCGCAAGACAATTGTTTTAACACGTGTGACAACGGTACATTTGAAAATGGCGTGAAACAAAGAAATGGAATAGTCGGCACAAGATACATTAAAAAAAACCATAAAATCGTGCTTACTATTACTGTAAGCGTCACAATAGTTCATTTAGCTATGACACCGGTGCTACACGTGCAGAGAGTACGGAACACTTATTGTAATAGTCCTACAGTTTATGATAGTATACATAGGTTACCATCAGCAAATAAATAGCTCAATCCACGACGAGAAGACCATAAGAATCCAGACCAGGAACGACAGGGGACCTAAACTGCTTCCTTGAGGCACGCTTTACTGATTTCATAGGGTTACAGAAGTAAAGATTGTAATTATATTTTAAGATCTGTTGTTGGTTAAGTAAGATAGATACTACTTAAGAGCAAAACCTTTTAAGCTAATTTTGTATTAATTTTCTATAAGAATAGTTGTGAGGTAAAAATAGAAAGGCTTCACTTAAAACTAAAAAAATGTGTTTGCTTTTTTGATAATTTTAAATACTGACAATATGGTTGTTTATTTTTACCGTTCGTTCTACTTACCGATTTGCACCAGTCCGTCAATAGCATCTTCAACGGTTCCTCGAGCGTTGTTACCAAAGTGTGGAGGGGCTGGAGTCCAGTAGAACACGACTAGGAGAGAAGACAGTACGGAGAAACCGAATACACCTTCCCATCCTACAGCTTGCAAAGGGGGAATGTTTAGACCTGGTAATAAAAGTTGTAGCTTTAGTAGCATAATTATTATATACCTACATAAATGTAAATTTAGTTATAAAGCCACAAGTCATTCGTGGTCAGAAATCAAATTAGTTGGTTGTGGAACACAAGAAGGATGTTGGATATGTGAGATAAAGATGCCTCTACTGCAGACCTCACAAAGCATCTATGTACTCACTATATTTTAAACATTATTTGATAACATGTTAAATATATAGCAAAGTAAATGTCTCGAAACTTCCACGGGATGTAAACATATACAATCATGAAGTAGGTATAATGAAACGACACAAGCATTAAGTACATAAAACTTTTTTATCAGTTGCACTTTGAAAAGGAATGATGGTTCGGTCCTATTGAAATGATGGAAGTTAGGAATTTTATAAAATAGGTATATCTAGCGTGCGTGCGAGGACTGGAATCATTAAAATATTCTGAAAAAAGGGGCTCATTAAAATACCTTGTCTTCGGGTTCCTATAGACATAATTAAGTGTGGGAGAGCCACGCTTCGGCACGAATGGGTCGGCTCGACCAGTGATACCACGACCTTACAGAAAACCGGCGTGAAACAACCACAGCGTTGTATATCGCCGGGTAAGTGTGGTAACCGGAGACCCATTCCTTCCGCTCCCCCAATCCCTAAATCTCCAAATCCCTAATCCCTAAAAGGTCGGCAACGCACTCGTAACTCCTCCGTGACGGGTGTCCTTACCATCCTGATTGCTTACCATCAGGTAATCCGTCTGTGGTCTGCTCGTTTGCCGATCTATTACATAAAAGAAAAAAACTCCAATCCTATGCCTAATCCCGAAAGGTCGGCAACGCAGTCTAAATTACATAAACAAAACATGGATTATGATAATAAATGGAGCGAGTGGGATACGACAGAATCTATTAATTCGCATTCCATTGACTTTTTCGTACATCAGTACGAGACGGGCGAGATGATAGGTATTTATGTATAGTTGTATAAGTCTGTTTTCTCAGAACACGTTACGTATTCAGTTTGGTTGAATTGGATACTTTAATGAAGGTTTTAATGGCAATATGTTTCACCATTTTGTAGGTTTCTTAGAAAAACAGAGCGGAGTGTAGAGTCTAAGTTACGTTAATGTCCAGGATTCGGGCAATACTAGATTCAAATGAAACTTACCAGCGACGTATTTTTCTTCGTAAACCATCTGGCAAGCAGAGATGACTTGAGCAACAATGATGAGAAGGTCCCCGGTGATCAGACTGTTCCTTCCTTTAGCCTCGCCAGCTGATTGGTATAGAGCATCCGTAACACCGACTACTATTAAACCTATAATCACGAACCCTGGAAAGAGAAATCTCAAGTTTAATACTTGGGCTCTCAATTTTTCGTTAAGAAACACGTCCGTGCGGCAACATCAATATAGAATTACTATGTAGATTTGTTCACGACATTAACAGCTACGTGAATACTATTATTTTGTTCTTGATCTAAGTTCAATTTTGCGATATACATTTTATATGAAGAAGGGTAAATAAGCAGTAAATAATAATAATAAATAGGCTAAATAAAACTCAATATCAACCTACAGACTAATAAATGCATGGATACGCATTCAACTATCATAGCCGTTGAAAAAAAAATCATGTATGTAAATTATAATGGGTCTGCCCAATCAAAGAGACCAAAGACCGTGATATGACCACCCTTTCCATATTTATTATAGTGTTTCGATTATACCATTATAAGTAAATCTATTTATTTATTATACATTTGGGTAACACTATGTAGTCTGCAATAAAATTTTATAGAGGATACATTGAAAAAAATAAAATATTATTATAAGTGCGATTTGAAAGTGGAACGGCTTTCCTGGTTTGGTTCAAGTAAGTTAGAGCCGCATTCTATAAATTTAATAATTACAGTATCGGTTTCCACTTTGTTGATATAATGAACAAAGAGACAGAGGCACTACACACAATATTTTTTAGCTAAGCATCATAATGTGACTTTTTTGAGGGGATTGACTTATCAAATGTCTTCTTTCCCCCAGGGTGATACCCTTACCCTCACCCAAGAGTCAGTGTAAGGCTCTTACTGACTAAAAGCAACCCCGTTCTTTCTCCTGCTCCTGCCCGGAGCCCAGGCATCTGATGATCGTATATTAATTATACATGATCATCAGGCAATTCCAAAGCAATTTTCGGCTAAACTTATAACATCAAACACACTGGGTACTGGGCTTTCATCCACCCACACACATTTCTTTGTTTTACATTCCACTAGAAACCTATTAGCAATATTCAAAGAAGCAATAATTTTCTTTTAAAAATTCTGTAATGCGATTAGAGATTTCTTTATAAGTATACTTAAGAATTAAGTACTTGAGACCAATTATATATTTTTTAAGAACTCTCGACGTTAAAAATGATATTGATTCTATGGAAAATGATAAGAAACATTGAAGGTGAAAGGTACTTGAAAGAGAAATACTTTAATATTTTTTCATATTGAGATAGAATAAATATTTAAATTATATAGTTGAGTTTCGCTAAGAGGATTTCGATGTTCTTTGTCTGATATTTTTCTAGTTAACGTTTTTATTCACGAGAAATATAAAGCATTATTTTGTTACTTTATAATACATAAAACAAATTCAGACTCAACACTGGCTTAGAAACGAGGGAAATCTTTCAAGCTTTATTCTCGTGAATTGCCATACCTACATATGTCATCAAAATAAATATAAACGCCATAAAACACAATTGAAATTACCAATTAATCTTCAGAAATATATAAATACATCACATAATTAGCGAACTGCATTGATGTTTAGCAATACTAGCAAGATTTAACTCTAAGGTTTGCCGCCGTTGATGGTCAAGCGTAATAAGGTACAACGACCTCGGCCTGGAGCAGGAGAAGGAACGGGCTGTTTTAGTTAGTAAGACACTAACACAGCTCCTCGCCATACATTGATCGAAAAATTAAAAAAAAAAATAGACGCGCTGATCGCGATTTTTATCCTGTCACCTACTCATGATGCGGTTATTAAAAATGGTGTACGTGACAATGTAACGTAGTTCAAAAGGGAATAAGCAGAAAAAAGAAAACAAAATAGTCACTAGTGAGCTGATTCCCATAGTAATTTATCTAAAGGTCGACCGTCAGTCACGCTGCAAGTATTAGTCACTGTGTGGTCACGTCACCGCACTGAGTGCACTCTCATATGTCTTCATTGCACACAACTAAGTGACAAAGTCGCAATGACAAAAAATCACAATCGGCAACTGGCCAGAACGGGCCTAAGTACACACGAACGGTCACATATTACGTTGGATTTTCGCATAAAACAATAAACACACTACTTTTGTATTTTTCAATACGTTTTACAACTATATAACATAGGTATTATTGTGTCTTCTATCTTAGGTGTAAGCTCACGGATATGTTACCCTAGTTCATTCAAATACCTAGGATAAAATTGAGTAGTTTCTTCAATCAATAAGAACTCATTTCAACTAATAAAACACGCATATGTTACCTTAGTTCATTCAAATACCTAGGATAAAATTGAGTAGTTTCTTCAATCAATAAGAACTCATTTCAACTAATAAAACACGCATATGTCACCTTAGTTCAGTTGAATACCTAGGATAAAATTGAATAGTTTCTTCAATAAATAAGAAATCATTTCAACTAATAAAACCACAAAAAGTATACCTACACATATGAATGACTTTTACGACATACTTAGTATTTTTATTATAACTTTCGTGAGACATTCTAAATTATTTATTATGTTTTCGGCTTACTCGTCGTCGAGTATCTCGTCAAATTATTACGTGAGTAAGCCGAAAACATAATAAATACTTAGTATTGTTATTTTTTCTATACTTTATGTATGGAACTTTGTATATGGAAGTAACAGCATGCTATTTCATAGAAAATGTACGTTTTTGGCGAGCTGAAAACTACCTACTGACATGAGACTATATAAAGTTATAAGCACAACCTACTAAGATGATACAGAAATATATAAAGTTAGGCATAATAAAAGTAAAATATTTGCTTACAAAGCAAAACATAATTATTGTAAAGTATACTTTTTTACATATAAATCGATAAATGCTGATGTTCAATTTTGCGTTAGTTAGTAACAATACACTGTATTCTCAATAAATACAGTGATTCATATTATGTAGATAAATATTGTAAATGGATCGAGCAAACATTCAATGATTCATTGGTCACAGCTGTTATAATATTACATATGTTGGTTTGTGTTTCTATAGTTCATTGTATGTTTTATACTTTTTTTTTTGTGGGGGTAATATTATTAAGACTTTTTCTGCCTTGGGTGGACTACGAGGGAATTTTCACACTCTTCATCATCAGCCTGTTACCAACAGCTACCTTTAATCACACGCCACTGAGCTCGATGGTGAGCGTACGGCGCGTAGCGTTCATCGGGCGCTTCAAAGAGCCAATAGACCACGATAGACGGGGCCCTATAGGGCTGATGTCCAGCTGGGGTTGCGAGGTAAGCGCAATGAGGTACCGCGACCTCGGCCCAGAGCAGGAGAAGGAACAGGGGGTTTTTAGTCAGTAAGAGTCTGACACTCCCTCCCGCCCGGCCCTGGGCGGGAGAAGTATATTGTTGATTTTCCCCTCAAAAAAAATTATATACTGAGATCGATGGTTAGCTCTTCTCGTCCAACTACTGCCAGCCGCTCATACGGATATCGTCAGTCCACCTTGAGAGCACCTTACTATTCTACTCCAAAAGTCATCAGTTCTTCGACAAATGTGACCTGCCCACTGCGACTTTAGTTCAGACTCTTACTGACTTAAAACGACCCTGTTTCTTCTCGTTGAACCCCAGCTGGACATCGGCCCTAGTAAGCCTCATCAGTCTGTGGTGGTGATAAGCGCGACACATTCGGGTCTGGTTTTGGTTGGACGGCGATGCGCAGACCCGCAATGATCATACCACGAAGGTATATGTATATCACATACTGATAAATAAATCCTATCTAAGCCTGTGTCCAGTGGGCGGACGTATGATAATAATTTTACCTATTTGCTTTCTTGTAGGACTGGGCTCTCATTTCACAGGTAAGTAAGAAATATGTTCTCTTGGACCTGCCATTTTTAGATGGATATGGATTCCATAATGTTTTTGTTAATTAAAATCTTAACTTGTACTAAATTTAATTTGGATAATTGAAATACTGATCTGAGACTGTATTAAAAACATTACATACATACATTTTAGGCATTTCGAACACAACTCTGAAGCAAAGAAGTAAGCTATTCACGAAAAAAATTTTTATTATGAATTCCTCACAAAAGAAAACATTCCCCCTTCCATGAGGCGTTTCCCGAGCCCCTACGATGCAGTCCATGCCAACAAAATATTAAAACACTAAACTTCGTGAAAAGGCAGCGAAACAAAAGAAGTAATTAAATGAGAAATATTTTCAAAGCTTTTTGTAGCTCTTTCAACAGGTTTCCATGTAAAATATTGTACAAAGCAAGAGCTACGCTTAATTGTAGATATTGGAGGGAGGCTTGTTCACCCCCCCACTTCAGTTGTCGGGAAGTGGTGTGAGTGAAAACGCAGTAAACAACAAAGTTGCAGGCGGTATCGATCATAAACCAAGCAACGTAGTACTACGTATGTAAAATAAAAAGTAAATTATATTAAATATATACGGGAAGAGCCACGCTTCGGTTTTACTGGGCCGGCTGGACCGGAGTGATATCACGGTCTTACAGAAAACCGGCGTAAAACTACATTAGCGTTATGTTTAATGAGGCCTAATCCTCTAAGCAATTAACATTATTTTTCAATAAACGTTCATAGCTCCTTAAGCTCTCTTTATTCTTAAACTGTTAGGTGGGTGGAAAGTTAATCGGTAAATGAAATGAAGAAAAGCAGATCTCTGAAACTACGAATAAAAACACTGCCATAATTTTCTCCTGCTATTCCGTTCCCAATTAAAACTACTACCCATAGTACCAAAACGCTTTTTGGTCTTTTAAAATTAACTTTTATCTTTCTATATTTCCATATCCACGTCCATTCACATCGACGCCCTTTCGTCCATCAGTCACCCCTGGCTAATTAAGACCCCATCAATTCAGAACAATGTGATCAAGACAAGGGCAACAACAATAGACATTCCCCTTGTGCATTATTTGTCAGGTAAACGGGACACTGATTGGTTACACAGTTAGGAACATGCCAGCTACGCAATTAGTGTAACAAAATCAAACCCGATCTTATATACTGGGAAACTAATAGATGTAATTAAGCTTGTGTAAGAAAGTGCACGAACCACATTAGAATTTTAAATTTAAAAACAGTTTAATCAGTTCTTTACACGTGGAAAACTGAGAAGCCAGACCAAGATGTCCATCTGGATTCGCGGTGGGGTATCAGGGTGGTTTTAAAGTCTGACACTCCCTGTCCGTCCACCTAGGGCGGTGAGCTCTCATGGGATGTTTTTCCTCACTCAAAAAAGACTTCGCGGAAAACGGCATGACGTGTAAGCAAACTAGTTTTCCTTTGTGTTCAGTGATAAAGTTCCAATTTCCTTATATACCTACATTTTTATATTAGTTAAACGAGAAAATAAAATTTCGTCTAACAATATCAAACCGTGTGATTAAAAATTATTATAATTTGTTATTAATAATCACATAACAATAGATTTAAAACATATTTCAATTCAATCCTTACCTAACCTACATTCCCTATTGTAATAAAGGTGTATTTAGCTTATACATTAAGACATTGTCTTTCTCGGTCACAGTTGCGACGCCACAACCACCTGTAGGTTTGATAATATGAATGAGGCCCAAACTACGTCGTCGGTCGACGAAGCTAGTCTATCCTCTATATGTATATAACAATAGATTGCAATTTCCCTTGTTCATGACATGTAGCGTAAAAGGCTAGAGCGATTCGCTATCAAAACAAATGACTGACACCAAGGTACTCGGACATCCGCGCCAAGTAGGGGTTGCTAGTCATAAAATAATTAGATACAGGTCTTGATAGTGATAAAGTGGATAATTCGACTACCAATGACAAGCCAGAATAAAATAATATGGACTCTTTTATAGTAATAACAAGAAGTACAAAGTATATAACAAAAGATGTAAGGTAAATACAAGTACTTATAAAGTAGCAATAAAATTGTAGTACACGCGACTCTGATCATAATAACCGTGTCTTATGTACGCTTTACGATTTCAATCTCCTGTGTGCAGTTGGAGGGTGGAACGTAGGGAGCGGCGGACACAAGGTGAAGGGGAGTGAAGGGAGGTGGGAGACTGCACATTGTACTGTGTACCGATGTCGGATATTGATTTATAACGGGCTGCAGCATCCATCCAGTCCAGGGCTACGACGTATTTGAACATATAGGTCCTTTGTGCTTCGTTTTTATTGAAGTCTTTTGTTCATTTTATATCTTTAACTTGAATATTCAGATAGATTTCTCAATCTTTATAAGAATTTTAAAGATGAATAAGGTGGTTATACTAAGTTGGTCTTTATTAAAATAATGTTAAGTATTTTCTTTATATGTTTAGTTTGCAAACTAATGTTTATTAGACAGTGGACAATGAAACTAGAACTCAAGACAAATCGGTGTTTTCATAACAACTATTTTAATTTAATAAACTGGGTATTGTAATACAATCCAAATCAACCCTGGGCCCGCAGTCATCAACCAATTACCCAAAAATGAGGGTTTATTGTAAACCAATTTTATAAAGCTCATTGTATTTTTGTGGGGAATGAAAGCTGGGACGCCCTACGTAAGCGGTGAACTGTTAAAAAAATACTCTCATCCCGTTGCATTAACAAGTTGTTGCAGGCAAGCGCAGTAAAAACGAAAGCAGTGTAACAAGTGACCCATATAAAGCCACGAATCAACGAAAGTAAAACCGAATCACGCCATTGTAGGGGTTTTGTTCATAGAACAGCATAATATAGTGTAATGTGCGATATTGCATGTTCGCTGCAAAAGAGTATTCTTATGGGAGATAAAAGAAATTGAGTCCAATGCTTTAAATGAGCCTAAAACACGGACAATACACAACTTTCCTTGTGCCAGCTACCAAAAAGATGTGTGAATGTAATGGATAAACTTGTTAAGAAAAAACATGAGACAATTTTTTATTCGATTAAGGGCTAATTTTTAGTGGTTAGATAAATTTATCTGCGGACTAATTATGATGCTGTCGCGTCAGAATGTTTGTATAAGACAGTGACAGCAACAATTTTATTCCAGAAACTAATTTTTTGCTATCGCCGGGAAGTTAAAACCCCCGGCGACGGAACTCACTCGCCCTATTTGGAAACAAGAAACGTTTGTTTTGACAACATCCCACTTAGTTTACGCCCCAAGGCGGGAACGAAGTACTCAACTTGTAAGTCAATACATTGATTTGTCACTTCTCTCACTAAACAATAATACTAAACAATTTTCACTATAATATGTATAGTGAAAAAAGAAAAAGTGATCGAGCCCTTGGATTTCGTTAACTGGTGTTGACTAGCATTATTTAAATTTGGAATAGTTACTTTTATATCGAGAAAAGTTTGGTTAGCGACAGCGTTAATCTATAATAATATTAAAAAGAGGTAAAAGTAAGTTTGCATGTTTGTAAGTTTGTATGTAGGGGGTAATCTTTGGCATCCCTGGTCGGATTTCCAAAATTCTTTCACTGATAGATAGCTACAATGTTCCTGAGTGCTATAGGCTATAAAATATTACGGTACGATTAAAAGGAGTCGAGCATCGGGTGAAATCGCGCGAGATTAGATAGTTCAAAAAATAATAATATACCTACCATGTACATATACACGTGCCAACGAAACCTTCGATAATATCGCAAAAGATAATGGTCAAGTTTACCACGACCTCGTCCAAGAGCAGCAGAAGGAGCAGAGTGTTTTTAGTCTATAAAAGTCTGCCACTTCCTCTTGCAAATTACTCGATGATTTACACACATCAAAAAAAAAAAAAAGAAAACAGTGCCATAGGTACAGTCTTTGACCAATGTAAGTGAAGTTTTATAAAAAAAGAAATCAGTAGGGCAAAACAGCCTTTCACGTGAAACATGAATATTGAGCCGTCAATAGTCAAGTAGAGATCGTTCGAGAATACATCATAATTAATAACCAAAGTAATTACATGAAAAACTCATAACATTCAATGAAGCCCTTGTCGAACTCGATCGATATATGTGCGTTTTTCATACAAAGTTCACAAAACTGACTAGTTGCGGTGCTTTTTTTATTGAATATTAGAATTCTGAATAAGAGAATTCCGATGCAAGTACAATTTCTCGTTGTTATTACATAATATAATTTTTTTCTATCCAAATTATCGCCAATACTTCAGCTATCTTTAACCTTAGTGACAGAATGGTGCTGATCGGTAGTTAAATCAATAAACTAAATAATTATGTGTAAATATAAAGTGCATAAAGGACACTATCTCTTTTCTATAGATAAAAAAACTCAATAACTATTATCTAAAGGACTACCTGGCCTATAAAAACGTACATACGCTTAGCGAATGAATTGGTTGATTACAATTAAAATGAAAGTTAGAGGACGCTGCAGAGTATTCCTCGGAGTTTGTTGTACTTTAGCCGATGAGCTCTGGTACTAGAGTTCATGTTAAAGCCTGTGTGTTAGGGTAAAAACATCCATAAATGAGGCTAAGTGATAGGGATTTGTAAAACCTTTAAACTTTGATTCTTATTTAGAACATAGGCAGCTAAAGGTGAACGGTATTAGCTCCCTGGGCTCTGAAATATAAATGGGCGTTCCTCAGGGTTCGATATTGGGACGGTTTATGTTTTTATTTTATTGTATGATCATTTTCCGTTTTAATTTTAAAGTGATTTGAAATAAAATCTAGTTGTATTTGCAGACGAAACAGTGTTTGAAATATATTTACCAGTTAACTAGTTTTAAGCATTTGAAGTTTAATTTTGTACTAAAAAAGTAACTGATATAGTTTCGTCCACCGAGATGGAATCAGACATAAATACTCGAACAAGTATTTTTATACACATTTCTGACATATTTCTCTTTTATATTTCTATTGTACATTTATACATCTACCAAGCAAAACTATAATAGTAAGTGATTTTAAACCGAAATACAAGATGTTCACTACGTATCACAAAGATGCATTCAAATGTTTTATGCAATCAATCCAACAACAACGTAGAGTCAAATATTCATATTCTAATTCAGTTACTCGAAGTTCTATGTTTAATTTATCACGAACCACTTAGACTGCTTCACTGTTTTCCCCCACAAATAGGTCAGTGCATCATTTGTTGATGTAAACAATTAATGAACTAAAAGCACTTAGTCCTATGGCGATGTAGGTGGCCTCTTAACCGAAGTTTGTTGTTTCTCTGATAACTCCACATGAAGAGAGGTACCCGTTGAGAAATTATTTGATATACATAAATATGGTAAATGGTAACTTACCAATGCCAGCCCACTCGCGTCGAATGATTCTTCTGTCCAGGAAAGTCATGGAGAGAACAGCAACGAAGATGATGATAGATCCTCGGAACATTTGGAAGCTGCTGACGTAGGTTAGCGTCAAACCGATGTACATGATCGAAGTTCCAATCTGTGTGGAGGAAGGGAAGTTGTTTAAAACTAGGGTCAAAAGACGATGGTTCTTTAGTAGATGTTATAATAAGTTTTCTACTCATTCGCATACAATTTTAAGACATGAAGCATTTATTTATTATTCAATAAATCTATTTACAACAGTTTATTTCCCAATACAAAAACAAAACAGATCTTCAAATAATACAATAAACTTTTACGATTATATCAATTTGGCTTTTAATATACAAACATAATATCGCAAAACCTTCGCTACGCAGACACACTAAAGCATCTTTTTAACCGACTTCCAAAAAGGAGGATGGGTCTCAATTCGACGGTATATATAGTATGCTTTTTTTATTTGTACAAGCAAGATTATGTGCAACAATTATATTTGCAAACGCTTAAGGCAAGTCTAGGAAATATGTAATATTTTTTCATTAACATGTACAACGCTTTATAAATAGTGTCGAATTCAGAAATACGTTCGCTTAACAGGCTTATAATGTAAAGAAAATGTGACCTGTAATGGGTAATGTAGTTGTATGTCAATGTAGGTATAGTTAAGACTCGATATTTCTAGAATGCCCTGAGGTCACCTACCTACTCAATGAACGTCGAAGTGCGCTCTGCGCAGATGCATTTATCGATTTCTTTGCAGACGTTTGTATTCACAGGTCTAGCGCTTCAAATTACGCTATGACCTACATAAATTTTACTTTAACTGAATTTCTCACCTTACACTCATAGTAAAACTTACTCTCTGGATTTATTACTATCTATTGCCATAAAAATTAGGCATTTTTAAATGCGTTTATCGTAACTGTGCGCATTATATCAAACACCATTATCGTATACCAGAATGGAACTGAAAACTGGGGGCGAGCGTACAATGGAGTGGCCTGGTACTACATTCATGAATGGTACGAAAACGCAAACAACATTCAACAGGTTCTTACGCACGGATGTTGTCATATTGGTTAAAGGAACACGGAACGCTAGCGTATCGCAACAGCCTGTAGATTTTATTCAACCGAATAATAGCTTGTACCCTTAATGCTTTAGAATTTGCAACCTCATTGCTTACAGCATAAAAGCGAAAAACGTTTAATGGAAACTTTGTTTAGCATTTATTATGTTTCCATGGCACCGATGACCTTTCCGTCAACATGTTTGTGTTTTATCAGAGCGTTGCGTTGCGTTGAGCGTGCAATGGAAAGTGATAATTGAATACATTTATATGATAGGCAATTATCAGTGAATATGTACTATTATGTACTTAGAATTCAAATGAATGGTTAAATATTAATTTTATAGATCTCTTGTACATTCTGTTTTGATACCCATGATGACGATTGTTTGACGACCGTAGTTTTAAAAGCTATTGAGTACTCATTTATTATACTTTAAAGGGTGATCGGTTTGAACTCTTATGCCTCTACGTGCTAGATCAGGAATCCACTATAATGCAGAGCACAAAACTTATACAAATATGAAATAAGAAGATACATACGTATCAAGTACGAATACAACCATAAGTACTTAGAATTATATCGATAAGAAAATTGTTATCAAAACAAAGGAAATCCACCAAAATAGCCAGATAAATATTCCAAACAAAACAGATACGTAAATATGTAAACAACGAGAGATATCTAATATCTTTAGTTACCTACGAGGAATGATATTTATAATGATTTTCCTTTATTTCGCGTAGGTTTAACATGTGTATAGTAACAATGAATTAATGTTTTTTCAAACAATGTACTCAATTTTTTATTATAAAATGTCCTAAAACACGTGTCTTTTAACGAAGGAATGTAAGGTATTTTTTTAAGGGGGAAATCATCAAATGACTTCTCCTGCCCAGGGCCAGGCGGGAGGGTGTGTCAGACTCAGGCTAAGGCTAAGAACTCACGGAGCGATTTTGAACAGTGCCCGCCGCGGTAGCAAAACTGCGGTTTTATTCCCAAACTCACGAGACCGGTTATTTGCGCGGTTACACAGCCGCCGCGGTTGCGATCATCGCCCGCAAACGTGGCGGGCGATGATCGCAAGATTGCAAGACGGGCGGTTAACGATCAGTTGAGGTCCAGACCGCCATGGACACACACCAGAAACGAGCCGTTGCATTATATTTACTTCACAGAAGACCCGCCGGCCCTCGCGGTCGCTCGCCAACCGATCGCAAAGCGCGCGGGTGCCACCCGCCGAGGCTGCGGGTAACCGCGGCCCGCGCGATTCTACTAGTTGCCCGCCGGTACAGCGGGAGCCGCATACAACCGCGTACACCGCGGGCGTAAAACGCGTCGTGAAATGTGCTTTAATTTTTTATATAAATATTTGAATTCTACAGAAGCTGCGGGCCCGCAACCGCAGCGGACGCGGGCGGAAATCGCTCCGTGAGTTCTTCCCGCAGCTTCTGTAGAATTCAAATATTTATATAAAAAATTAAAGCACATTTCACGACGCGTTTTACGCCCGCGGTGTACGCGGTTGTATGCGGCTCCCGCTGTACCGGCGGGCAACTAGTAGAATCGCGCGGGCCGCGGTTACCCGCAGCCTCGGCGGGTGGCACCCGCGCGCTTTGCGATCGGTTGGCGAGCGACCGCGGGGGCCGGCGGATCTTCTGTGGATCGGCTGTGTAACCGTGCAAATAACCGGTCTCGTGAGTTTGGAAATAAAACCGCAGTTCCGCTACCGCGGCGGGCACGGTTCAAAATCGCTCCGTGAGTTCTTAGCCTCAAGGGCCGCGGTGCCACATAGCGCTTACCCTGCAACCCCGACTGAAGGAGGAGGGCTAAACAGAGGATAAGGACATTTGGTCTGAAACCAATAAAGTTCTAAAACGTGGTCGGTATAGTGAACTATGTTGGGGACATCGAAACAACATTATACAAGTTACTACTTACAGTCAAACAAGCGAATCCGACTAATCATTTCGGTCACGTTTCTTTTATAAATTGCCTTTACGACTCTGTGTACCAGAAATTTACCAATTGTCGCCGTCAATTGATAATTAAAAAAAAAAAACGTTTTCGACTTTTCATTAAAATAAAATAACTTTCATAAATGTCTGTACTTATTTTTCTAGCTAATTTTCGAAAGATAAGTGTGTTATTTAACATGGAAAGAAATTTAATTTTCTATTTACTTTCAGCAAGTCCTTTCGTTTCATACCAGGGCTATAGTTGCCATCTTAGAAGATCAGAATTATTAGTTGAAGTCGAAAATTCATAGCAATCCCAGTCGACCTAAATACCGTCTAATACAAAGAACTAACCGATACAAAGAATTAATTAGGTAAGATAAATAATATTTACTTTGTCCTATCCGCGGTCATCGGTGACCGCCCATAGCAACTAATTAAGTACACCGAATTATCTCGGAGTAACTCGATACATTCGTAATTATCATCGTACACAAACACACAATCCTTATACTAACTAATATCAGTAATTAATCTATGATAAACAGTACTGGTTAATTGGATTTCTTTTGCTGAACGTGATATTCGCACTAATTGGCCTTTTTATATGATGGGTGACCTTAAGATAAGCCATGGACACTGCCCAAGGATACCAGTACCACCTTAGGCTTTTTAGGAATGAGCGATTTGAGGAGATTTTAAAGGTATGAATGGGTACGTATAAATCGGCGCACCTCGCTCATGGACACTAGTAAGCTTTTTTTTTGTGAGGGGAAAATCATCAAATGACTTCCAGACTTACTGACTAAAAACCCCACTGTTCTTTCTCCTGCTCTGGGCCGAGGTCGCGGTGCCTCATCGCTCCTCATCAAATTTTAATAATACATTGTATCAAAAATCAAAACTAATATATGTTTTTCTTAGAAAACTATTCAAAATTGTTCCAAAAAAGAACACCAAAATTAGCCACGTCAGGGCACATTTCGTTGTAGCCACTTGTAAACAGTTAGCGAATTATTAGTATTCTTCATAGGTGCCATTATACTCTTCACACATTCTAAGAACACACGTGATTCGCTTTTTATATTAAAAAACTATCAACCCGCACCTTCAGAATTTGTCTACTACTTAATGGATGTTGTTATACATATAATCCTTCTTCATCAATCACCCTATCTATTAAATATATCCGCATCAAGAATTTTCTCAAAAGATTTAGGCATACGTAGGGCAGGGAAAGCGACTTAGTTTTATATTATATAGTATAATTATTTTTGAGTAAATTAAAAGTTTCGCATAGCTACATATTATACTTACCAGGTCAAACATTGCAGCCGGCATCAGGATGAACGGGTTGAAATTCTGATTGCCATTGGTGAGAGCATGTCCTCCAGTGTTCTTCGTCTTGTAGTAGATCAATTTAAACGTCAGCAGGCACAGCATCTCTCCAAGGAACATAGCCGCCGCCTATTTAATGATAAAATAATGCTTTTTACTGACCATAGTTCGTGTAATGAGAAACAGGAATACTTATATTGAGTACCAATTAAGTAATTATGGTTTCGATTTAATATTTAACTGCGAAAGTTTAAGCCGTACAGAATTATTATCTAATAGTAATGTATCGTATCATTTTATGCCTTCTATTTAACTTAATTTTAATCAACATTTAATTTAATATCTACATATATTCTATAAACAAAACGTATCTATAAACGAAGAGACAGAATTCTTTCTAAGAACGAGATTAAGACGACTTTGTTTTCTTTGAAACTCGAACCTGCTAATCTAGAGGGTTTCTCAATTAGGGATTGATGTTATCGATGTCGAGCTATCGATTTTAAATTGTTAAGTTATATCGATTTGATTAATTTGATATTAACAGCTTTACGCGTACGAGTAGGTACGTATCAATCAACACCAACCTGCCTGACCGGAGGCCCAATCCTTCCCCTTCCCGGACCCTCCCCCAATCCCTAAATCTCCAAATTCTTAATCCCTAAAAGGTCGGCAACGCACTCGTAACTCCTCCGTTGCGGGTGTTCATCGGCGGCGCTGATTGCTTACTATCAGGTAACCCGTCTGCTCGTTTGCCGACTTATTACAAAAAAAACAACCTATTGAACCATGCACTCATTTTATTCAGCTTGCGTAGGAGCCATAATTTATTGAATATAGGAATAAGGGTTTTTTAGTTCATAGGTCGGCAAACAGGCGGATTGCCTGATAGTAAGCAATCGACGCCGCCCATGGACACCCGCTTCACCAAAAGGGTTTTGGATATTTAAGGACTGTGAAAGTAAGTCAGGCAGGGGTAGGTATTGGGTCTCCGGTAACCTCACTCACACGGTGAAGTACCACTCGTAATACCAAAGGAGTCACTACAAATGCTTTGCTGGCCCCTTGTAGAATATTAGGGATTTAAGGATAGAGAATTTGAGGATTGAGCACGGGGGAGAGGTACACAACGTAAATGTTGCTTCACGCCGCTTTTTGAGAGGCGGTAGTATCACTCCGGTCGAGCTGGGTCAATTGTTTTTTTTAATGACCTTCTGATTTAGTATAATCGCAACATCCCTAGAGTTTATAGTACTTACCTAAGTAAATATAAACAAATAAACATCTAGTTAAGTAATGACAACTTTAATTCGAATAGAAATACTATGTAATCAAATACGTTTCTGGTAATCACAGTTATACAGAGTTTCTCTTCGAGCACTGAAACGTTCCCTACTAAAATAGTAATATACAGTACAGACTTATTTTGCTAGTGTAATATTAAGTTCTGAAAGCAGTATTCGGGCTCACAGTGCGCTAGTTTTGAACTGGTCGTTTTTCAATTCTGCACTCAACATAATTATAAAATACCACGTATTTATTTTAACGTCTAAAAGGGTGTTTATTTTGTCTTTATGTGACGTTGCAGCGATTTCATAATGACGCCTAAACTTTTCGCGGGAATTTGAAATTAATTAAATTATTTCTCTTAATATAATATACTTACAAAGCCATGTCCTAAAAATAAATATGTAGATGAATTGGTTTTTTATTCTTAAATAGCGGCCAATTAACGGTCGGTTTAACTAATCGTTTCATTGAATTTCTCAATTTCTCATTCAGGCTGTAAGTTGTAAGGTGAAAAGTTATTAGAATCGAGTTGCAACCAGAATGGTAAGTTACGTTAAGGTTGGGTTAGAGCTGTGAACCGCAAAAAAAATCAAATCGAAATCGCGAATAAACAGCTACTCAAATAGTACTTCGATAGAAGGGGTAGCTAATTCACTGAACGGCTATGTTACCCGGTTGGCTGCGAAATATAAGCTATGTTACAAACATTCATAATATAGTTAAAAAAAGTGTCAATATAATATATATATCATATTATTATCTACACGTAAAACGACCTATGTGTACCTTATTAAAACATACAGATAATATTACAAAATATTATCCCTAACATCTGGATGGGAATACTGTGACTAAATTCTAGAACTCCTGAGGCCTTTGTCCTATGTTTTGAAACTGAGTATCTAAATTAAATGGAGAGCTTTATGCAACTTTGTCCACTGCAATTTCAATGGGACAACGTCAGAACTTTGAAACTCATTTGGATAGTTGGTACTAATGTCGAGTTCCATTTTGCTGTGCATTTCTGACTACATTTCAAAGCTGAAATATATGTGAAATGTTCCTTTATAAAATGGACAACATAGAATATAGAATTCACATTCATATTAAAAACAGAATTTATGAAGAGTAGGTACATACCTGAAGAAATGGATGTTCAAATTCCCGTATCTGTCCATCGGAACCCTTGGCTTGTAATTTGTCTGCCCATTTTGTACTCAAAGAGTTAATGGACCCAGTCACTACCAGCATTACAGCTAAGAACTTCTGGTAACTTGTCCAGGCCATCCTGAGAACAAAAACCTTATATTTATAAATGTCACAATGTCCTTAAATATTTTAACTTAGCGTCCCACGCTCTGATTGGATGTGATTGCTATCCTAACAGATCATGAGAGTGAGGGGACCGACTGCCCAGACACCTATATATAAGTACAATATGCATGCATACTCGCACTACGTATGAGTCTCATTATGTAAAATATTTAAAACTATTAATAAAAAATACAGTTACAACGTCTGAATGATGTAACAAAAATGAATTGTGAAATTGATCGAAAAAAAGTAAACAAACAAGCAAGAAATAGCAAGAAACTCCATTTCTTGCTCGTTCTTCTCCATAGGAATCTACACTGGAATGAGCTAATACTTTCACTAGATGACAGATCGACAGACTGACACACAAACTTTTTGATATTTAGTTTTTGTTTGACATTTAAAAGTTTCTATAGTGGTTGATTTAAATATTGAAATAGACCACTATTTCAAATAAATGTTTTGACTTTGTATGTTAAGCTTTTCATAATCGAATTCATCTAAAAGTCTTAGTGTTACGGCTGTCAAAGGCAAAATAGTTTTTTCTAAGTAAACAATTAACAGGTACTTTTGAAACAAAATAGAATATAGTCTGTTAGTCAATTCATCAGTCAAGCTACGCACTCAAACGAAAATGTAGGTTTGAATGGAGTTAGTTTCACCATTGTCCCCCCACACAACTGTTATCTATTCAGAGATAGCAAATCTAGTTTTGGGAACATATTTTATTTTCAAATGCAAATGACAATACAATGATGGATTTATCTATATCAATACTTTGTGATACAATTGTTATCGCTTGCCTAGTTGAGTACTAGTTTCTTTGTGTTCTTTAAATAGTTACTTGGTAGAGTTTAATATTTTCAGTTAATATTTATTGGTCAAGGTGCTCGCATGATGTTTCGAACCTATTGCCGCAATACACTCTGGTTCTTTGGCAAATTTTATACATGTTGAATTTTGTCACGCAAACTCCGACCAGAGCTCTGCATGACAAACCTAGCTAAGGAATTCTAGAAGGCCAAAAGTCAAGATACACATTTCATTACCATATATGTCACTAGTAGCAATTACATGGTTGAAAATTCTGGATTTTATTTACTGTAGGACTTTCTATGAGAAGACCTAATGCACTAGCTGAAATGCTGCCCATGCTAATTGAATCCTTCAGACTTATTTATATTAAGTTCTTAATTGTGTGTAAGTATATTACAACAATTACTTAAGTACCTATTTAGGTAATTACTGGTATAACAAACAACAATGCCTGCTATTTATAATTTGAATATTGATAGGAATGATTACTTGGACAGACATTACTCTTTAAAATAAGATAAGACAAATAATGAACTATAGAGGATGGCTATTATGTACCTACCTACATATCTACCAACATTTACATAGTTAAAGAAGATAGCAGTTTAAATTAAAATTATATATTATTATAGGTTCAAATTAGGAAATTTAAATTGCAAGGAACATGGTTAGATTATTCATCCCATTAATACCTATGTGATTTAAGTTATATTAATTGATAGGATTGCTAAAAAATGTGTGCAACAATGTATTATAGATAAATAAATATTTAAATGAGCAGGTATGAAACTTTGACCCTTATTAAATTAATTTGAAAGTGCATATCTAGTCAGGAAATATTTTAAGACTAATTGATATGATTTCAAATTAAAAGAACCAAATATTTAAACAACTAGAAAGTTGGATACCGTTTCTTAAATTATTTAAAGCTATCTATCTTTAGTTTGTTTTTTAAGCCACTTTGGCATTATGAAAGTTTATTTCTCGCTGCCAAATGATGCCGATTGAAAAGCCGAAAAGAACATATACAAATTAATTATAATATTGTCAAGTCATTGAATTATTTTTAACAAGAAACAAATGACAGATCACCTAAATTTCAGTGCCTTTGACAACAAAAGAAAAACAATGACAAAAAGTTTCTATTGTAAACAAAAATATCGTAGATTGGTAACGTAGCACTTAACTGTTATTTGGGTATTTACATAATACTAACCTGGAATTTTGTATCCTTTGGGTTCAAAATATTAAACAGACACAACAACACTATGGATATTAAATTACATTAAAACTGACAAATAATAGAGCCAGCACGAAAGTTGGCGACAAGCAATAACGTTAACAAGACAATGACTTTTGGTTCGGCAACTCGCGACGCGACTTCAACTGCTTGCGCGTTACTTCATCTGACATTAGAATGACGTAAACGTCATGCCACGACCGGGGTGTTGCCAAGTAACACTGCTGTAAACTGTAAATAAAAATATTGCATCTCGAATGTAACCATGGCGACTACGATTTAGCAAGTTAGGATGCATGAAGATTTCCGCTTGTAAGATTTTATTTGGATATGATCTTTCTATATACTTAGGTATACACTTAAATGAAATGGATACTTACCTAAATATATCACTGATCAGTAAATCTACACTTTCTATACGTATATAGCTGAAGATTTTGTTTGTTTGTTTGTACGCGCTAATCTCAGTAACAGCTAGTTCGAAATTTACAATTGAAGATTGTTTGTGTGTTGGATAGTCTATTTATCAAAGAAGACTATAAAACACCACCAAAATTACCCGCAGTAGGTAAAAATAAGATAAATGGTTTTTTTAGAACATCAATAAAAAAAAAACTCGACGCTGATTTTAATTTACTAAAAAAAACTAGTAAATGCTAAATACTAGGTAATTAATTATAATTACTACAAATTAATATATCTATTCGTAGAATTTGGAGCGCCTACAGAAATTATAACTACAAGTGGTGTATAATCGTAGCATTCACAAGATCAACCAGTCTTTGATACTACGACACAATCTGCATGGTTTAGCCCCAGTAATCGACAATATTAGTCATCAAATATTTATCAAGTTTATGTACGAGTACTTATTGTTGCTCAAAATATTAAAAAGTAATAATTTTATAATATTCATACAAATTGACCCACCAACTGCGACTTCGACTTCAAAAAATATTATGTTAAAAATCAATCTCCCGAATTAGGAATTCCTTTTTTGGAAGTCGGTTTAAAATACTAGGGATGAATTAAAGATGGACCACTTGTGTCGTATAGGTTGGGTGCAGATGTTACTGTAATGAGGCTTTCGAAAACACAGCGTGGCACATGCTTGAAGAGTCAATTGCATGGGTAGAGCTGCGCCGACAGCTCATTGTAGTAATCGACGGAAATGATCTGTCAATGCTGACCGTCGTGCGAATTGCGTGCTTCAAAGGGAGAGGGAGGTGTCCAGCTCTCTCCAGAAAAAAAGCGTTGTCCCACACTAGGATTTTCTACTGTGTCGTGGGTCGACAAACAAACAATTGCACATAGACGGGACACCCAGACCCGAAATAACAATTTGTGGATCACAAAGAGTTGTTCCGTGCGGGAATCGAACCCGCGACACGCTGCGCGGCAGCCAGTTGCACAGCCATCGCGTCAACCGTGTAGTCAAGAGTATAACTATCATACAACCCAAACGGGCCCGGGCACGCTGTTATAGCAGTAAGTCCCATGGCGTTCTGACCTTCCGCCTGACGCAGGTGCTCACCGGGTACGCCAGCTTTGGCAGGTTCCTGTTTTGGATCCGGCGGGAGGAAACGCCCACGTGTCATCGTTGTAACGACCATCACGAGAACACGGTGGAGCATACGGTGGCGGTGTTGGGCTGAGCACCGCCGTGTCCTCAGGGGACTGATCGGCGGCGGCGATTTCTTGCGTCCGGCCTTAGTCGGGGTCATGGTTCGGAGCGAAAGGAGTTAGGATCCCGTGTCCTCTTTCTGCGAAGCAATGATGCTCGCAAAGGCTGAGCGAGAGGTAATTATTCTCATCACGCCCTAGCCGTCGTCGTAGGTGACACTTCGGGCGTCGGGGATCGAGAGATGATGAGGCCTGATGAACGCTACGCGTCGTACGCTCGTTTCTGGTTCAGGTCGTGCGGCGAGCTATCCTTGCTCATCAGACGCAAGTTGTCTCCGCCACGCTTACACTTCGCTGAGCATACGGCGGTGCCCAGCCTCAGCAGGGCACATCACGTATGCGCCACCGAGTTTGCTTATCACCAGGTAACATGACTGTTTGTTAAAATGCGTTGTTTCTTAGTTGACTCGTGTCTCTCGCACAAAACTTATTTTGCATACTTCCTAAATTGTAGATATGTATATCTACAGGGCGATAAGATATTTAAACAGCCGTAAGTTTATTCCCGACTGCGTTACACATTTTTGACAAGAGACTAAAATTGATGAGACAGAAGATTTTCCCTCTCTTTCGAAAAGAGTTGAAAAGGAAGTAATTTTTTGTACCTTATCGTAGAACAATCAATTGCTCCATTGGTTATGGTATGTAAACTGATTGAAAAAGAGTAGGTAAGTCAAAGTCAAAGTCAAAGTCAAAATTATTTATTTCAATTAGACCCATACAGGCACTTTTGAACGTCAACACAACTTTAAAGATACAAAGTGTCAGTCTGTCGGTCAGTCCTCTTAGTGAAGCTATTCGCTCGTTCCAAAGTGTAGATTCCGATGGAGAAGAACGAGCAAGAAACTCCATGGTTACTCTTTTAAAATCAGTGTCACATAAACATTCTTTGATACATTATTTAGTTAGTTTGAATATGTGAGAACAGTGTAACGCGTGTATACAGAGAAACACAAAAAGAAAATAACCTTAAGGACAATAGACAGTCCGGAGCTGACCAGTCCCAATTGACGGCGCCCGTTCACGAGCATGACACGTACACCAGCATCGCCCAACTCAACCATAATATAGGGAATCGAGCGATCCAGTGACCGTGCCACCGCCAATGTGACCTTTGAGTGAGCATGACAACTCCAAGCTGACATAAGGACCGACATTCTGCTAGTCTAACTAATTTTAATAGGTTACAGGGCACTCACATTTACAAATTTATCAAGTTTAACAATAAAAATAGCATGGTTACAAATTTACAAAATCTAAGAACTTCCGTTCAAGCAAAGATCCACTGGAACATTATTTATATTCGTGTAGGTATATTATCCTGTGGAGCAGGACCAGGACCAAGCATCCTTATCCTCAATATAATCACTCAGTTTGTAATATGCTTTTTTACACAAAGTTTTCTTTACACATAATTTAAAATTTCTTTCATTTAATTGTTGTATTTCGCCTGGGATTTTGTTATAACACTTAACGCTGAATCCCATGAACGACTTGTGTACCTTTGCCAATCTAAATAATGGCTGACACAATCTATCTCTATGTCTAGTTTGGTAATTATGTCTGTCTGATACCTTATCAAATAATATTAAGTGTTTCCTAACATACATTATATTTTCATAAATAAACTGACCGGGCACAGTCATAATATTGATCTCTTTAAATTTTTCTCTAAGAGATTCGCGAAGCCTTAGGTTGTAAATTGATCTGATTGCACGCTTTTGCAAGACAAATATAGACTCAATGTCAGCAGCCTGTCCCCACAACAAGATGCCATACGACATAATGCTATGAAAGTAGCTGAAGTAAACCAGTCTTGCAGTGTCCACATCTGTTAGCTGTCGGATCTTCCAGACAGCAAATGCTGCAGAACTCAACCGTCCTGCCAGAGATGTGATATGGGGCCCCCATTGTAGTTTTTCATCTATGGTTATACCCAGAAAAGTAGTCTGTTTTACAAATTCCAATTTCTTGCCGTTTAATAATATGTCACATTCGTTACTTTTTACATTTGGTAAACTGAATCGTATACACTTTGTCTTTTTGTCGTTTAGAACTAAATTATTAACTGTAAACCAGTTATGAACCTTCGTAATAGCATTATTTACTTCGTCATAATTATTTGTCCGTCTATTTATTTTAAAAATCAACGATGTGTCATCAACAAATAATACCATTCCCGGTTCTCGCTGAAATAAATGAGGTAAGTCATTTATGTAGACCAAAAATAGGAAAGGACCTAATATCGAGCCCTGTGGTACGCCCATAGATATGCTAGGACCCTGAGAATTCACTTTGTTTACCTGTACTTTAAGCTGCCTATCCTGGAGGTATGATTTTAATAAATTGAGTGAAGCCCCTCGAATACCATAGTGTTCCAACTTTAGCAACAGTGTCTCGTGTTCGACGCAATCAAAAGCCTTGGACAGGTCACAAAAAATTCCAATAGCGTCGTGCGACTCCTCCCACGAGGCAAAAACACGCTTAATTAAAGTTACACCGGCGTCAGTTGTGCATCGACCTTTGGTGAACCCATATTGTTGATCATGAAAGATGGAATTCATGTTAAAGTGACGCAGCATCTGAGAAAGCATCAGCTTTTCAAACACCTTACTAAGCACCGGTAATATATAATAGATACCGGCCTATAATTATTAGGATCGGTATCATCGCCAGATTTAAACAGTGGTAACCATGGAGTTTCTTGGTCGTTCTTCTCCATAGGAATCTACACTTTGGAACGAGCAAAATAGCTTCACTACAGCACAGACGGACAGACTGACATGCTTAAAGTTAAATCCTTTTTTGTTTGACGTTCAAAAGTGCCTACTTTTGACTTTGACTTTATGATTTATAAGCGCACCTATTAATTTCTCAGGCGGAAGCCTAAAAACGTTCCGGTACCCCAGGTTTGTGAGTTTCAACTTTTGGGCAGGCGAAGAATGATCTATAGTTTCCACTCACGACCTCGCAGGCAACAATAAGGCTATAGTTGTTATAGCAAACTACCTATCTAACTATCAACTCTTGTAAACGTCGCATAAAACCCTGCCGGCCTGAAAGCCTCGAAATACGAGAGGCTCGTCACTAAGAAGCTCCCTAATAAGAGCTATACTATCCGGACCTACGACTGGAATCTAAAATATGTTAGAAGCATAAATAGTCAACATCAGGTGGACCTGACTATAGGCATTTTTGATTTGAGGCCAAAGACCTATTCAAAACTTTTTTTCAATAGTGAGGTAAGTACTTAGTTTCGTGTTGCCATTTGACCCAGATTTACAAAGTTATAATAATATACTTACAGAAGTCTAAGGTACTTTGTCTTGTTTATCTGAGAACTTCCTTTCTTTTATAGAATGCTGACTTCGTGGTGCAGAACACTCCCAAAGAAGAGGGGGAATGCCTAGTGTGTACTATGTGTAAGACAGATTTTATTATTTTCAGGGTTATGTACCGTGGCGTCGTGTCAGAACGCCTTGGCTACATTTACAACATGACACGCCACGCATACGTATCTATAACCATAGTAAATGTATTGGCTCCTGTAGTGGCATGACACAGTAATATATTTCGGCCATTATTGTATACTGCTTTTATCAACTTGGGTACTAGGCTGCGCTGGTAGCGTCCTAGAGGATGATGGTCATATGCGTTATCCGTGGCTATCGCAAAATCTCCGGAGCGGAGGTGAACTTCCTTGCCGAATCACCGCCATGTCATCTGGAGACGAAGGCGCTCGCAATCGTCTACAGTTTGCGCGCTAATTCCTCTGCATGCTGAAAATCCTCTGCCGCGCAAGATTCGCGATCTCATGGCGGAATGGTAACGACACGCTGTTATAGCAGAGGTAAAACCCTTCTTTGAGGAGTTGCTAGAGAGAAGCCCTGGTGTCCCCCTCACCTTCCGCTTCATGCAGGTTCTTTCTTACTGGACACGGAAGCTTCAGTAGGTTCCTGTTTCAGATCTGGCGGGAGGAAACCGCCCGCGTGTGGTTATTGTGTAAACTACCCGGAAGACAAGGTGGAGCATACAGTGGCGGTGTGACTTGTGTGGGCTGAGCACCCCCATCACCTCAGGAAAGTGATAGGGGCGGGGGAAGTGAGGAGACGGAGAGGGGTTGCGGGTCAAGCGCAAACAAGTACTGCGGCCTAGGCTTAGAGTAGGAGACGGAACGGGGGAAGGGGGGATTGCGAGAAATAGTGTGACACTCCCTATCATCTCACCTTGGGCGATATTAGTCTTTTTTTAGTTTCCCCTCATAAAAACGGGTACCTATCTGTATATTGTGACTTTGTGTGCAGGTACACGTACCTACGTACATATAGCCACACATGTATGATAATGGATAACATGGAGATTTTTCAAAATAAAACACCATTTACATTTTTATTTATTTTTTACGACATTGAAAAGCCGGGACAAGGGAAAGCATCATAATAAGCACTTAATTAATTTTCTTGATTAAATCACATTCGACCTAAATCTTGAATACTTCTACAGCAGCAACATCAATTCCAGGAAAATATCAAGTGCTTCAGTTTCTTCGCCTCAGTTTCCATTTTTAAATATTTCGTTGATTTTTGGGTCTTTCTTGTGCAGTTTGATAAACAGTGAAACAAGTAAGTTTCGATTCCGATAATTGAATTGTCAGGCACAAGCATATCAATTTTCCTTATTTATAACATAACGTTTCGATAATAATTAATTCATAAAATGACAATCAGCAAACAATTAGAATTCGCGGTGGTGCGCAGCAAATTCGCATAAGCGTGGCAAGGGCTTACAAGTTGTAGACGTTCTCGAACATGCTATGTATGAAGTCTATAGCTCCAGGATCGCCGCTCGGGTACTTTTTTTCGTAGTTCACCATTGCAGCCCTCAACCGCTCGAGGATTGGTTTCAGGTCAGACTCATTCGGGTCCTTACCAATCAGCAACATAGTCATCCAGTTGGCCGTATTGTACTTATACAGCATCTGGTAGTTTCGAGCCGGATTACGTTGCCACTCGTTACTTTTATAATCCTCGTATAAATCGGCCCGCAAAGCCTCGGTCATTCGCCGCAGCGCCTCCCTGCGCCTTGCGTCCATTTTGGTTTTCATTTGTATGGGTCTTGAATATATAACACTTGCAACAATAGTTGGGGTAACACAAGTACCTACTCACAGTGTACGTCCGCACAATACCACTGCGCGAATTATTTTGAAATGACCGCACTGGCCGGCTTCGATTTCAGTGTGACCAGTAAAAGTGTCAAAATCTTTCTAATCCAACAGGTTAGTAGGATTAATCTCTACCGTAGAAAATTTAAACTATATTCTTTTTCTAATAAGATCATCTCGAAGTTTTTTTCCGTATTTGATGTTCAACCAAGTTTTTACCAAGTTTCGAACAGGTAACTTATTGGAATATACAAATATGTTGTTTAAAAAGAGACCTATCAGGGAATTTCGAAGTAATAAAAAAATCAAGTGTCTGTGACCTACCACTCCTATATAATTATGAAAATATAAAATAAAATTAATTGGTTTTTGAAAAAAATTATCTACCAATTCGGGAACAAAGGTTTAGTTCTCAAATGTCAAATCGTTTAGAGCTGTCAGAGAAGTTGAGTAGACATGATTTCTTATCGCAATGAGTAAGTGAGACGCAAGTTATGTCAAAAAACGCGCGATCCTACTTCCTTATTAGGTACGGTTATTTCCGGTTCCGGTAGCTTTTATACCCCTACCTATGTAGTATTGTAGTTTGTTCTGTTCGATAAACAAAATAAAAAAAAACTTATTATTTTTAATGTTATATTTTAAATGACAGGTTAATGTTTTTGTCCGTTATTTGCTGGAATAAAGCACATTTTAAATACTGAGTATCATTCGCAAAATTAACAGTAATTTAGTGTATTCCATTTTTGAGTCGTAATTGTTTTCAATACGAAATCTTTGGGTGAGATTCTTTATTTAAAAACCTTTTATTTTTAAATTACCCTTTTGTTTTCTTCTAGATGTTGCGTTATTATTTACATTTATCCATTTATCTGAGTAAAAACATAAAGTAGCTTAACCGTTAAAGCGGGACAGGAAAAGGATGAAAAAATTTAAAAGTCACCGACTAAACTTATTCATGTATGGGTAGCGGTGAATGCTTACCACCAGAAGTCGTGTTTTATCCATTTATCTAAATAAAATAATAAGCAATTACTTACGTAGTACAAATATTTCAGGCAACTGGCAAAGCTTAGATATTATCTGGGTAGAACTAGAATATATCAAAGAATACACAAGCAGTTGTTATCATAAAAGTTTTACTGTGTACAATCTTAAAAAAAGTTCGGTGAATTTAATAATGTCTAATTTTATTTAGGAATAAATTGATCTGATAAGGTCTATACATAAAGTATATTTAGATGACTAAATAAATATGGGTGCTTCTGTAGTTTCCGGCTGCGGGCTTCAGATGACGATGCACTCGTGGGGGAAGACCATTCCGCGCATTGGGATAGAGGGGCAGGCTACAAACAGAATAATAGAACATATTAAAAAGCGGCGAATTTCAAAAGTCGGTTATAATTTAAGAGCAAGACAAAGCTAACTTATTTGAAAATGGAATAGTAACGCCTAACCGTTATTTCTATTCGAATAGTTTTTTAAATTGGTTCGTTGAGAGCGGTAAAGTATGTCTTCTTGGTATTATAAGGAAAACAAGTTTGTATGGTCTTCCAAAGGTAACTTTTCATTATACTTCTAAATTTGTCCATATCTTGACCGTGTACAAATACTTGTGTGAATTTCAAACAACATGTTTATTGTTTCTTACAGAATAGAAATGAACACTTCGTAAGTTTGGTACAGTTACTTAGGCTCCACAAATTTTACTCCTTGCCATGCGGTTTAGCAGTATTTTCACTTCTTCGAAATTAATATAATAATGCACTGACAATGCTGTTGGGACTGCCCCGACGGTGTAGCGCGTCTGGAATATTTGCGGAAGCCAGAATAGATGACTTCTATGCCATTATAAGCAAGCAATTATGCGGCGATTGAGGGATAGTCCTAACATTATACTAGCTATACAGTCTGCGAAAGTTGATGGCCTGTTTATTTGATACTGGGCAAGAAGACTTATGCGTCCTCATGTCCATGGCAATAATAATGATAAATATCAAAATACTAGCTTTTGCTCGCGACTTTGCTCTGGTGGAACAGTGACTGCCGGCAGTTTTTTGTTTACAAACTAGTATGTCTGTTCCAAATTTCATACAAATTGGTTCAGTAGTTTAGGCGTGAGGAAAAGACAGACAGACAGAGTTACTTTAAAAAAACGAATAAAATAAAAGATACCCTTCTCGCATCGTTGCCCGTAGAAACCGGTGCCTTCACATTTACAAGTGAAACCTGGATCTTGAACAGTTTGTATACAATTTCCCCTCAAGCATGGCAAGCGACTGCAAATATTGGAACTCCTTTCTGAAAAATGAAGCAAAATTTTGTTAAATTGTGAGATGGTAATTGGGTTTGGGTAAAAAGAAATGATTAAGTTTGAACTTGTGTGTTTAAGAAAGTTTGATGAAAAAAATACATGGAAACTGAAACTATCGGAAAACGCAATAGACACAATAGTGTGTCATATACCGGCAGACGAGAGGTAAATGGCAAAATATCAGCGTCGCGGAGCGCCATTGACGGAGATTGTATTGGAAAGCTTCCACCATCTGAATTTTAATTTGATAATAATGGTAATTGGAGTTTCAATTCAGGAGAAACAAAAGGTGAAGCGACGGGTTTTAGTTAAATTTGTAACTTATACAAATCTATTACCTCTCAAGGCGTTGAGGCAAGCCCTTCGCGTCCTGTAGATGAACTCGGTCCTACATCCGTACCCACATGTACACGATGCTCCGTAGATCTTGCATCCGTTTTGAGACTGGTCGGTTTCACAGGCCCATACTGCCACTGGAAATTATATTGAAAGTAAATCAGTATAGGACTTCTTTTCATGTGAAGACAAATTCATCAAATAACTTCTCCCGCCTAGGGTGAGTTGAGAGTGTCAGACTCTTACTGACTAAAAATTTCAACAGTCTCCACGGTGCCCGTGCCTTTGTCATACAATTACCAAAAACATTATATTAGTAAACTAGCTTAGCTAGGAATAGTGACTTCCTGTATTTTTTTGGTTAAAAAACTATCCTGTGTCCTTTCTCGAGTTTGGCGAAATTTCACACAAATATGTCCAGTAGTTTAGGCGTGAAGAAAAGACAGACAGAGTTACTTTCGCATTTATAATAATAATTTGGATTTACATGTTTAAAAAATACCGATTTTACATAGTACAACTAACGACAAATATGTTATTTAATTATGTGCGGAAATATAAAACTTAATGTTTCACACACTTAGGTCATACAGGTTAGGTCATCTGAAGTAATTAATACTTATCTTCATGTAAATATTATTAACTAGGTAAACGAAACAAAAATATTGTTTTCATCTTAATTCCACAAATACAGCAAATAAATCGAATAACATATGTGAGCGATATTGTTAAAGTTTTATGTATTCGTTAATTTGAATCTGCCCATTATTAAAGTGCATGGTCCTCTGTAGGGTGCTTTATCTCCAGTTTCCGTCCACGCCGATTTAATACATCCTTTGAATGCACCACTGCATTAGTACATTGACATTCCCTTTTTAATTTATTAATTAGGTAATTCAGGATAAATACTTAATATATTATGAAATAAGCAGTCTTCTAAAGTACTTGAATCTCCTATTGCCTTATTTTGCTGTGCCCTACACAGTCCATAATTAATCTCACACAAATTGTTACCACCTTTATATGGACTTATGGTAAAGAAGAAAGAAGAAAGAAAGAAAGAAGAAAGAAAAACCATTTATTACGCCACGACATATAAAAGGAATACAGGTACACACAAAAAGCCCATAGTGCGTCGCAGCGCAAAAGGCTGGATAAAGCAATAAAGATATTGATTATTGAGTATTAATATTATAAAGAGATCAAATTTGTAAGTTTGTGTGTAGAGGGTAATGTTTGGAACCGCTCGCTTGTCAGATTACCAAAATTCTTTCACAGATCTATCTGTGAAAGAATTCTGTGTAAGTTATAACATATTAAAACAGTTTGCTACGTAATATTGCCGCGTAGTAGGTATCTCGCGCAATACTATTTAATGAATATGAGCCCCCAACGTGGCTTGAAACCAGTCGTGTGCCGCGTCAACAAGTACTATGAATCAACCGTAAATAAAATTAGTATTTCTTGTTGATGACAAGAATTTACAAAATTATCAGATGTATTTATCATTGCTTAGATCTTAGGCCAAACCCTTGGGCAGTAAGTAAACAATTATTATTATTTTATAGCCTATAGCACTCAGGAACATTGTAGCTATCTATCAGTGAAAGAATTTTGGCAATCCGACCAGCGGTTCCAAAGGTTACCCCCTACATACAAACTTACAAATTTTACCTCGTTCTAATATTAGTATAGATATATATGTATAATAGCTTCCTATTTTACTAACAAACGCTACACAAATGCAATCCTTGTTCTGGTTGGGTGTATAAGAAGACATCTTGTCAATTAGACCAGTGCATCAGTTGTTAGATAACACTGACCTATATATGAATTGATCCAATTTACTGCTGAGTGCATTCAGTGCATACACGAAATGCCTACACTTAGGCAACTAGGCACTTAGTCACTAATATGACTAGACAAGCTAAAGTTGAACAAAATGGTTGAACTTTTGTATTTCGTGTACCATGCAAAACCAGGTATCTTCTTCGTAAACTTAGCTAATCTTAGAGTCATTAGCAATTAAGTTTGTATTAAACGACGGTGGTAAGTCTGTGACTTGTAAGTAATAATGTATGTTGATAACTAAACTCAATACATCCAAGAAATACGAGTTGCGACCTAACAGTTTGATTGAGCTATAGATGAACATAGACTATACAAGCTGAAAAGCACAGACTATCATACAATAAGAAAGCTATACGTTTTTTTTTCTTCCTTGAAAGAAACGTTGGCCTAACAGTGGTCCACACATGGAATTAGTCTTGTGTAAGTATGCGTTTACAAACATATTGACAAATTGCACTCGGACTCCGAACAATAATTAGTAGATCATACATTGGTATAAAAGGGATTTTTATATCAATGTGATCAGACTAAAGAGTTGTTCCGTACAGTCGAAATCCTTTTATATTATAAAGTTTGAAGTTTAACTCGTGGCTATCTAAGTAACAACCTAGTAGACTATTTGGGCGTAATAGGTTTTACCTATTTTTTTATAATTAAAACGACCCTGTCATGTTCGCTCGAAGGTTAAGGCGCCCACTTCTCATGCATGAGGGTGCGGGAAACCTGGCAAGGATCAATATGACTTTTTCCGATTCATATGTACTTTCTAAGATTATTTAGACACCACTGACATATGGTGATGGAAAACTTCGTGAGGAAACCTGGACCTATAATTTCCAATTATAAGTTTTTAAATCGCCAATCCGCCCTGAGCAAACGTGGTGATTAATGCTCAAACCTTTTCTTGTAGGAAGTGGCCTTTGCTCAGCAGTGGGCACGTATAGGCCGATGATGATGATGATGAACGAACTCTGGGAGCAGTGCAAATGCTGCGAGGAGTCAGTCTGTGATCTCTCACACATAACAAGGCCGTTAACGGCACTTGTAAACTATCAATATTCTTCTGCAATATTGTAGTTGCTCTATTATCAGTCGATCACCATTTGAGCAAAGCAAAAAGTTGCTAATATAATAATTGTTACTGGCTATGTTTTCAATGTTGATTACTATGGCTACTGTATTGCTGTCATATTAGTCAATATTGTTGCTTTTACACAAAAACGCGACTTAAGACTATTTGAACAGCCATTGAACTAATACAGTTACCTACAGATGTTCTTATAACGAAGGGGAATGCTAATCATATTAATAACCAAACGAGCTTTTACGTGTAATTGTTTGGTGGCTAAGTTAGTAGTTGCTGCTCAGGTGCTTTGAGCCTTTTAAACGTTGGAGAAAATAGATATAAGTAACTATTTTAACCCCAATTACAAGTGTACATACCAAGGTGTAAGTTACCAAGAGCTAAGTTTGGAAAGGTTCTACCAATGTACCTATCTAAAAACATTATAAATCGCTTAATCTTACTGCATTATTAATAACACATTACGTAAAATACATGAAAACAGGGAATAGAAAATTAATAATTTCCCACTAACTTCGTTAAGAAGTGCATATTTTATTGAAATATATTGAAGTAAGTAAATAGTAACAAACATTCCATTTAATATCCACCACCTGTCAACACGGTCTAAAATAAAACGCTCCATAAAATATATTTTACCCGAATGAACCAATGACCCTTTGATATCTAACTATCAAACGCGAGACTTGACTATGCATAGCGATAATAAATAACTTACGACATAAAATTAATTATACATAATAATTTTATCAGTCTGAATTGTATAGTTACATATATGTAACCCATTACCCACAAAACAATCGGTAAATTCCAAAACATTAATAAAAGAAAAAAAAAGAAATCTAAATGTTCCATAGATTTAAAAAAAATATAAAAAGGGCGCGAGTTTTAAGATTGGAACGCCAAAATAAATTCGCTAGGTATTTGAATACTGTATAAAAATGCATTGGCAATTGCTAATGCTAGGCGAGTTTGAGGTACTTACGTTGGATGCAAGAGAAGATTACAAGGAAAAGCGCAGTGCTGGGACGCATCGTGGGCTTGTGTGGACACGTTGGAGTTCGAAACTGTACTGGTGTACTGATACGCGCTTCCTCTGACCAGTGTGAACGGCCGTCGTATCACACCGTATCTATCATCCCATTAAACTAACACCCCTAAATTTGAGTGCGTATACGATATTTGAAATTATCATTGAATTCCACAATATTATTTGTTTTACTTTTAATTCATATACAAGTAACGGGAATGTGATTGAGTTAGAATTCTAGGTGAGTAATGATAGGGCTGGTCTGATCAATTTTATACTAGTTTAGACTTGTTTCATGTAAATATCGTATAACTTATGTACCTATATGTAGGTACGTGTAGCTGCTAGGTGCCTACCTATATGGTTTTGGGTTAGTTCTAGTGTCGTGCGTATTTTTTATCTCTAGTACTTAAGTAAACATTTTAAAATTATATAATTTAGGGGCAAAATAATAATTACTTATTTATTTGTGAGTTCAGATGTTGAATTAAGACGTTCTATATGAGTTTATATATTCTGTACCTACGACTGCTAATGATGTCTTTTTGGACAAACTTTTTCCACACTAGCTTTTAATCATTACAAAAAAAAAATACTCAAATGCTGGTATTTTGGTTGCATTACGGCGATAGACTCAATCACTTCCTATAGTACTTTTTAGAAGTTCTGGTTTGCTTCCCATAAGCAAACGAGAACTTCTAAAAAGTGCCTTCAAAAGCACCTCAACCGAACCATTCAAGGACTAAAAATATTAAATTTACTTTATGTAAATAGTATCTAGAATTCAATCTACAGTGCAAACGAGTACTTAAACACAATTTACAGGAAATATAGTCATCGCCAACAACATAAACAAAACAAGAGACAGTCTCATATTCCGTAGATGATAAAAATTAATTAGATCATCGTCAATAATAATATCAGTGGCAACCGTAAACAGTCTTTCGAAGTTCATGTAAGTTGAAATTAATATCATTATCTTGGTTTATGTGGCAATGAAAATACTGTCCAAATAACAGGTCATTGGTCCCCGTTGTATCGTCCGAACGGAAACGTACGTATTTAAAATATTTTTCTTAACAAACTGCTTATTAAGTATTTATTGTTGAGTATCACGAAAATGTGTTTTGCAGACAGACATAAGGTTTTTGTGTTCAACCTACTCCTATTCTTCAAGCGTGAGGCGTGAGGAGGATAACACCCTCACGATCTCCGTCTGATTCTTTGCGATCATCACTGTTCCGCAGAAATATGAGACAACCTCCCAGTTCCTCTCACTCCACCTGTCGCCGCCCGCGATCGCTTCCCTGAGAACACGGCGGTGCTCAGCCCAAGCAGGGCACACCCCCACTATCCTATACTCAACTGTGTTCTCTTCAATACTTTACAATAATCTTTAAAATAACGACACCCGGGCGTTTCCTACCACCGAAAACTGACTTGGTAACTAAAACTACCATAAAACGACTTATAATTCGCTTTTTAAATACTTTACAATGATATTATACACAGCTACATCTACTTATAATCCAGGTTTGTGGATTCAGTTGGTCAGCCTGGAGCAGAGGAAGAAACAGGGTGGTTTTAAGCCAGTAAGAGTCTGACACTCCCTATTGATCGAGGTTACCCAGGCCGAGAGAAGTCATCTGATAATTAAACACTCAAAAATAAAGCAAACATCGATACCTCTTTCAATTATTTTCACGAAAAAGCAAATACGGAGTTATACCACGGCCTCACAGAAAACCGGCGTGAAATAACCACAGCGTTGTGTTTCGCCGTGTGAGTGAGGTTACCGGAGGCCCAATCCTTCCCCTCGCCCAATCCCTCCCCAATCCCTAATCCCCAAAAGGTCGGCAACGCACTCGTAACTCATCCGTTGCGAGTGTCCATGGGCGGCGCTGATTGCTTACCATCAGGTAATATGCCTGCTCGTTTGCCGACATATTACATAAAAAAAACATGAATTGATTTGAAAGAAGAGGACAAAACATTATCTTTTGAATGAAACAGCAGTTTCTTTTGTGATTAAAGTTCGTCTTTGTAAGAACAGCTCCCTTTACGATCTTATCAAAGAATCGTCTTAATACGGAAAACAGTATAAAGAGACAACTGTTTCAAATAATAAGTATATGCGTCATAAGCTTAGTATAATTATCAGAGTTAGTACAAGTTAACAGTAAACATTTGTTGCGATAATCATTATATTACTTCCATTGCCCTGGGTGCGGTGAAATAGAATATCAGACTCCTCTTCATCATCATCATCATTATCAGCCAGAAAACGTCCACTGCTGGACAAAGGCCTCTTGATCAGACTCCTAATGACTAAATGTCACCCAACCCTTCCCTACGGAAGACGCGGTTTAATATTGCGCTTAAACCTCAACCTCATCTCGAAAATAGAAGGGTTTACTTACATTAGAATTTACTATGTAGAAAATTGACAGTCTACGCGTCTTTGATAAAAGAAGTAGGCAAGCTCACTTTTTAGCTGCCTAAATTTCCATACAGAATGTTAAAACACGCTATTCCAATATATTATATTATGCATAATATTAAATTTACACTTCTCTGCACTACCCTTACGATTGGCTGGTCGAAAATGAGAGAAACTCCTCTGGTGGTGTGTCCATGGGCAGGGCTGATTGCTTACCATCAGCTAACCCGTCTCCTCGTTTGTCGCCTAATATACCATAAACATACCATGTTATATTTTATGAAGCTCTTTATTGCGAATAGCATAATTATAGTTATATAGTATTTTAATAATGATCGCAGTTCGTTATAAGCGGAATTTCATGCATAGAAATTAATGCAAAATAAAGTGATTGATTACGCTGTACCTACTACAAACAATACTGTACCCACCTGTTTTTATTTGTAATTATCCTACAGGTTCCAGTCTTTGTTGTACTGGCTTTAATACCGAATCATCTGTTTGCAGGCTTTTTAAGCACACAACATAACATACACGACCTCTACAAAATAAACAGTAGCAGTTTTCGGAACTAAATTGTGACAGATGAAAATTATAGGCAGCCACATACTTTTATAAAATTTACCAACTTTTAATTTTATGTATTCACTAGTGTTTTTGATATGAAAATAAATTTTAGGGAAAACCTCTTTTTTCCATTTTATAATTCTTCGCAAATAAATTTCGTAAAAATAATAAAAAAAATGATTAATGGCGATGTGTGATCTTCCTACAAAATGGTAAAAAGATCCCAATATCTGGCAACACTGGGAACGTGTATTGATCGAAGTGTATACACATACAGGGCCGGTTTTAAAATATTGGGCGGGCGACGGGGCTGCCTGAATTTCGGGGCCCAAGGGCCAGGGCCCCATAACAAATGTACGTGATAAAAACTTAACGTAACGTATTTGGAAAGAATTTTATTTGAATATTTCAAAAATTATAACACCTACTTACTTACACTAAAATAATGACAAAAATTTGTAGAAAATTGTATAAAAACTAATTTGATTGATTTGATTTGATGATTTTGACAATTGAAAAAAGTACCTCTCTTCACAATCTCTAGGTATGTTTATTAAATACTGCTCCGCGTACTATAACGCAATTTTGAACGATCCGAGAATCTCCGTCAGCGACTTCGCCCCTTGCGCGACAAAATGTGTGACGACCTATTATGAAATTAATTCTAAAATAATTATAATATGAGAAATTTAAAGCATATTCGTACTTCGAAATTAAAGAATATCAACAAAATCTGTTAGTTAGGCATAATTGCATTGCCTTGAAATAAAACCAATGATATAGTTACAATGCCTACATGATTTATACTTGTATCATAATCACCATAATCATCATCAGCCCGTTTGTTCGGAGGCCTCTCCAAGTGCACGTCAATGAACTCGATGTTCAGCTCTTCTCATCTAACCAAGTTACGGATATCAGTTCACCTAGCTGGAAGGCGCGCTACATACATTTGCCTAGACGCAGAAAACATCTATCTACCCCAATGTGTAAACTTACATAGTTTAATATTTATAATATTCTAGTTTATGTTTAGTATCATCTGACCACTGTCACAAATCTAAGTATAAGTAGAGGGCATGCATTTTCATTCTTTCATTAATAAAAGTATTTGTAAGTATGTAGGGGGTAATAATTGGAACCGATCGTCGCATTTTCAAAATTCTTCCACCGATGTCTGTGTTATAGGCTATATTTTATTCATGTAAAGAAAGTAGTTCCTTCGGGATTCAGCAAAGCTACGCGGAGCAGCTAGTGTTATATATAATGCTTGCCCTACATTATGACTCCTGAGCAGTAGGTAAGTAAGATCCGTGAGTAAGACACACCAGTAGATCACATAAAGAATGGTTCCGTGCAGGAGTCGGGACCATATTTATGACATGTTGACTAGCCACGAACGCTAACCGTGCAGTCAATAGGCCAGGAAGTGGTAGATCGCTACATACATTCAATAACTGTAGTACCTAGGTAACTACAGCGCTGTTGCTACTAGGTGTTCTTTTGCTAGTCTTGTTTCTGCAGGCGTTACCATGTACTGCATTTTGAACGATTTTTAATCCTGACACTAAAATAATGTTATATAGCTCCCTTACATTTAATTTCGCTGTAGAGGATTAAGATTATTTACATTGCAAACGACCTGGCGGATTACCTGATTGTGAAAAATCGGCATCGTAATACCAAAAGGTGTTTTTTGTGAGGGGTGATTCATCAAATGACTTCTCCCACCCCATAGTGCCTCATTGCGCTTACCCCGCAACTCCGTGCAAGTGCATTGCTGGCATTATGGGGATAAGGGGTTATGTGGATTCAAGGACTGGGGAGGGAAAGAAAGTATTGGGGCTCCGGTAACTTCATTCAACTCAACGCCGTGTTTCATTGCGAGCTGTGAGCCCGTGGTATCACTCCTTTCGAACCGGCCAATCGTGCCTAAGCACAGCTGTCTGACACTTTTGAAGCAGTAAAAATTCAATATTCTTATTAATAACTACGAATCTAAGTTTAGTTACAAGAAATCCAGTTCAGATTACTGTGTAAGATCACAAAAGTTCTTTGCATAAGTAGCTATATACCTATTTAATACTGTTACTCATAATATACTTAATAATGTTGTTGAAGCAACTGCACTAAAACTTTAAATCGTTAACTCAGTAGCGTACCCATCATTTTTCTCAATTAAAAAAAGAACTCGTCTAATACTTTTATCATTATTCAACTGAAAAACAAACATCTTCTTTCATTTTATTTTCCTACCTTGTCATCATCCCTATTATTAGTTGGTGATATACTTTCTTTCTTTTGGCCTATTCCCAACTAACTTGGAGCCGGCTCTGAGTTAAAATCAGGTTTAGTAAAATATGTCTAAGGCCATTGTTTACAGTCTAGGGACTTACTCCCCAATGTCTCATTAAGTCACTAATAGCTATTTAACCAACACAAATGGTGAAATAAAAAAAATAGCCAAATCTGTATCCAAAACTAGACCGAAGTAGATAATGCATTAAATATTGTCTACTTCATAAAGCAATGTTGACTGAAGACACTTAGAAACATAAGTCTTAAACAAATATTTAAAATCATAATGTACCAAACCAGCTTAATGACTCAGCCCGGCCTTAATAGCGTACACTATCACCCCAAAAGGAATGCAGTGTATTTTTTTCATAACGAACATATGACAAAAACTGTCGGCAATGCGAACCCCGCACTGCAACCAGCGCCAGCGCATCATAACTCGTCACATCTCACACAGTGAGTAACATACACCGCTGGCTTTAAATGATTGTTTAGTCATCGCTGCGGTATGGGACGCGCGTTGTATTAGTATTTTTGTCCATAATGACGTAGTGTATGGGCGGGTGCGGGACGTTCATTGCTTGTTTAAAGTTGTTTGTATCGGCTAGTTCGAGTCGAGTTCGCTCGAGTCCGGGCTCGAGCAGTTGTCAGTCGCGCGGCGGTGGAGACGCACATTAGTGTTCGTGTTTTATATATTGAAGCTACACGCAGCCAACATGGCCAGCAATAAAATATGGCAAAAGGTATTTTATTTTTATTTTATTTTTTATAATTCCAAGCGTTCGAAATTTAATTTCTGACTCTATTTGATTTTGCATTGCTAACTCATTTCGCCAAAACGGAACATTACATTTACAAACTTTTTTATGTTTACCGAATGGAATTTATTAAAATTATTCCTATTACATATTTTATTGCGTTATCTTTATGTGTGCGACATAATGTTACTATTGTTATTTTAAAATGTCTCCTATTGAATAGGTACATGTGGATAATGTGGTTTTGTTAAACAACGCCAAAAAGATTTATCAATGATCATTGAACACCATGTTGCGATGACAATATTATGTAGGTATCTGTTTAGTTAATATTCGTGTGTATGAGTATAGTTGCGTAGTGCCATAGATGGGCCAAAAGAGTCAATATAACATTAACATGTTGATTGTATAACCGGCTTTACTATGTCATTATAAAACTGTGTTTTAACTAAAATCTATTATGCTAGTTATGTTTAGTTTTGGTGTTCGATATCTAATTACTTAAGCATGATAAAGAAAAAATGGTTATTAGTAAACAAATTGCTTTGTACCTAAGTACATTAATAAGTATTTAGGCTAAAATAAATATTAGGAAAGTGATGTTTTACACTTTTGTGACTAAAGCATCTTTAAGGGATCTTAGATGAGTTATAATTTGGTTGGTCAATAGACGCTTACCGTTAATCTTAAAGCACGATTTTTAATAAACGAAGCTCGAACGAAGTAATGTGATCGCCATAATAGACCTAATTTATTTGTAACTAGCTACTCTTAGGGGTTTTCACCCGCTGCTCGGCTCCATTTGTATGCGTTGTAGCGTGATGTTTCATACCCTATAGCACTCAGGAACATTGTAGCTATCTATCAGTGAAAGAGTTTTGGCAATCCGACTAGCGGTTTCAAATATTACCCCCTACTTACAAACTCATAAATTTTGCCTCTTAATAATGTTAGTATAGACATATCTGTTGGATACAGTGTGCATACACACATTTCAGTCAAATTTCATTTTAGAAACGATTGAGACCAATTTTCTTCTTCTTTTACGTGATGCCTCTGATATCCAACTTAACAGGGACAAGAGGAGCGTCGTTTCTAAACATATATCTGTAAATATGTGTAATAAGATTATTATATACCACTCCTTCTCGAAATAAAAACTCAGTTGGGTTTCTGCAATAAAAACAGTTTCATTTATTTATTTTCTGTTTACAAGATAAAATTAAAAAAGACAGTTAAAAATAGTCTTACCTGCAATAAAAACAGAAAACAACATTAAAAGTTTTTACTCCAGGTGATTTACTTATTATTCCTTATTAAAATTAATAACCTTTTAACCCAATAATTGAAATCTTCAATGATCGATATTTTTAGGTTAGAATTCCGACCATCGAGTATTCATCTTTTACTCGAAACGCGGTAAATTAAAACATAAACGTAGTGATTACATACTCTTTGATAAAGATGATTACGTCTCATATAAATGAGAGTCGTTATTTTCTTTATATATGTTTAAACAATAATAACTTTTTAAGAATGATTACTATCCCTTCTTGCGTGGGCCCCATAGGAAATTATATCTTAGGTAGTCCGTCCCTGTATGCGAGGACTTACTACATTATTCGACTGGGAGACCTTAAACTAAGACCCACGTGGTTCATTGTTTTATACACAAATTAGCTACTTTTCCGCGGTTTCACTCGCTGCTCGGCTCTATTTGACCGTAGCGTAATATTTTATAGCCTATAGCACTCAGGAACATTGTAGCTATCTATCAGTGAAAGAATTTTAGCAATCCGTCCAGCGGTTCCAAAGATTACTCACTACATAAAAACTGACAAACTATTATATATTAGTATAGATATACAACTCTTTTAGATTTCCGGATCACTTCTTTAGTATCCCTTGACCTACAAGTTTAGTGTACGACTAACCAAAGCTACGAATTACAGATACGATGTATTCTATCGATGTTATAACCTAGTACATAATTACCATTATCATTATAGATAGATCAATTTTCATGCTCGGTCTTCTCCATAGGAATCTACACTTTGGAACGAGCAAATAGCTTCACTAGAGGACAGACAGACAGACTGACACGCTTAAAGTTAAAGCTCTTGAAATACTTTTTCCTTTTTTTTGCTTGATGTTCAAAAGTGCCTACTGTGGTCTAATTGAAATAAATGATTTCGACTTTGACATTAATGAAATCTAAACACATGTTTCGATGGAATAGTACTTACTAGAAGCTGATGTATACTTAAATGTTAGCAATAATAATACAATAGTTGTAGCAAATTCAAACAATTACTTTTGTAAATAGAGATAAATAAGTGATGTTCTTCACATCACATAGATAAAATATAATATTTTCTGATCAAATTTAATGCTAATAGGAGCCAGTCAGATATAAATCTTATAGTCTGTGAGTTGAGGTTGTTAAACTAAAGGTAAACAAACTTAATACACGTCTTTTTTATATAAAGAGGTCGTATACTTATAATAACATACAAACAAAGATTAGGTGCTTAAATTTAGTTTATAAGCTAACATCGATTTAGTTATGTAAAAATGTTTACTGATTGTAAAGATATTTAGGTACATACATATTTTAGACCACTTTTAGATAAAAAGAGAACAAAACTGTTTACATTAATCAATAAAAAAAATGTTGGATTAACAGATAGGATCAGAAGACATATGTATATCTATGCAATTCAGAATCAAATTTAATTCGAGATAAAAAATCAATAAAATTGTCTTTCTACAATCGTAATGTAGGTAGATACTAAATGGAAATTTTATCTTATACACAAAATCGTTTATCGCATATACATACTTATTTACTGAGGTACTTATTTTAATGACTTAATACTACTTAATTTTAAAAAGTAATATTTTTAAAATTAAGAATTTTATAAATATTACTTTAGAATTGGTATTTGAATCGACAAACAAAATAATTCATTAGGTAATTGTAATTCACCAACGTAAACAGAAAGTTTGAGGTTCATTTGTAATACATTAGGGTTTCAGTATGCTAAAAAACATTTGGTTTGTATAGGTGAGCCCGTTCTTGAGTAATAAAATTACTGCAATAAGCTTTGTTTTCATAAGTTCAGAAACATAGTGAGCCAGCACACAAATCTTAAAACAAGTTTAACACACCGAACAGTTTTTCCACAATGCACAGATAACAAATTTCTTGTCGAAAACTTTTTACGTGGTATCAATTTCCAATGCTTATAAAAATGTAAGTACCTAATTGTACAGCGATGTGCGTTAATATTTGAGCCCGACTTTTACTTGGGCAATTATCTTTACATAACACGTAAACAAAGGCGTTTGTTCGTCACGTTTGTCGTCAAGAAATGTCATCATCCGAACTTATAAGCCAACCAAAAACATTTATTTATATATATTTCGGGAAATATTCACATGAATCTCTGTTTGGTTGTGTATGTAAGTATGTGAGTAATCCCTAACCGATAGCTAGCCAACACATAGTGTCGTGGGCAGAGCTGAGTATATCGCTAATAATAATTTATCCTCTACGTTGCACACGTCAGTTATAATCTAGGTGAATATTATTGAGAAATATTATGAAACTAACACTAAATTTACAAAGTCTAGAAATCTCAGTCTTAATATTAGTAGCTATAAAGTCTGAAATTGGACCCAGTGTATTTCAATGATACATAGATAAATTATCTCTATGAGTCAAACATTTTCTATGGTTTTACTGCACGGTTGGCGCGGTGGCTGAGCAACTGGTTGCCGTGCAACGTGTCGCGGTTTCGATTCCCCCACGGAACAACTCTTTGTGTGATCCACATTATTCCGGGTCTGGGTGTGATGTGTATGTGAAATTTTATGTTTGTGAACGCACCCACGACACAGGAAAACTCCTAGAAAGGGGTAACGTTTTTTAAAAGAATCAAAAGAAAAGAAGGATTGTTAATTTAAAATAAGAGTCCCGTTGTGACTTGATACTTTTAGAGTCTTTCTTAGTTAATTCATTGATTAAGTCATTTCAACTTTACAAACGAAAGTATGGATGAGTATTTGTTACTCTTACTCGTAAAACTTCGAAACGGAAGTTAATTTTGGGAAAAGATGAAAAAAGCTAGCTAGCGCGGTACCTTTGGCAGAAGCCAGTGAGTTTACCAATGATAGACTACTTAAATATTGTAAAACTAGACCTTATCCGTACCTTTTCTAGATCTGAAAAAACAATGTGGCTTATCTGGTCCTGTATAAGGCTCATATTGGAACAATAACGCGCTTCATACAGAGCTGTGAACGCGTTCCCATTTGTATAATATTATTATTACTGTCACACATGTACCAACCAACTAGCTTAAAATCCCATTTAATTAGCTGCCTGTTAATGATGTTTATTTCTGATGCGAATTGCCGATGCGAAATCTGTCCATGTCACATTTTTACCTAACATACTTAGGGCAGATTTTTCAATGGATAGATAAAAGTTACATGGGGAATAATTATGATGCTGTCGCGTCAGAATGTTTGTATAAGACAGTGACAGAAACAATTGTATTCCTCAGATAACATTTATCTGACTATTGAAAAATCAGTCCGTAATCATAAAAGGTCGAAAACGCACTCGTAACTCCTCCGTTGCGGGTGTCCATGGGCGACGCTGATTGCTTACCATCAGGTAATCCGTCTGCTTGTTTGCCGACATTATGACATAAACACAAAAGCAGTTTATTTCGACGACCCGTATGTAAAACATTCAGTTACAAACCATATAAGTTTTTTTTGTGAACTAGACTAAGTATAAATTTTTACCAATGACTAATATTAGTTCATGTTGCAAAATATGACGTCATAATCACAAGTATAGCAGACATGAGACAGCATTCCCTTGAGCACTTTACAATCTTTAACAAATATGGTCATGTCTGTCAACGCTGGGTCTTAATATAGTTTGCGACAAATTAACTATCCTCTGATTG